TGGCAGCTGGTTGGTTATATATCTATATAATAAAGTAGAACGAAGTTTGAATCCAAAAGATAAAGAGAGATTCAGATCGTTTTGAGACAAAACACAAACACATCCAACGGAAAACGTAATCTCAACATAAAAGATGGTTCAGATCATCTCATAAATACTAATCCGATGATCATAATTGAACTTAATTCTAACACTTCTATCTCTCATGTAACTCTCTCTCTTATCTTTTAGACGTTTTAAACACACTATCTCATCTCCTCTTCTATATATATCTATATAATAAAGTAATTAGATTTCTTTATCTTTAATTTTTTGGGGCTCTGATATTTTTATAATTATTAATCTAACGATCGTAATTAATCCCTAAATTGCAAAAAGACCTCTCATTCTAGAACTCTAAAGATGTTTGCCTCTCACTTTCTACATCTCATTTCAAGACTCTTTGAAGAAGACGTTTCTCCCTCTCTGCATCGCTACCATCCACCACCGTCTCAACAAGTTTGATTTTTTTACTCTCTCTCTAAGTATCTATAACAATGGAAAACAACTAATGACAATTCAAGATACTGGGTTCTATGGTAAAATTTATACTACTTTTTTCATTCTGAAAGATGATCTTTGTTTGTAGAATATTTGTCTACGAGTAAGTGTTATTTGGATATTGTTGGAAGATATGCTAACGAATTCAATCTTTCAAATTGTAGAAAAAGTTGCCTCCCTCAATTTACAAAATAGGTTGCCAGCAGGCCATAAAGAATATATGGGTGCAGAGGGGAAAGTCACAAGTGTCCAGAAAGGTAAAACTGATGGAAAATCTAAGGGACTAATTGGCTTAGATTTGCTATTTTTCTATTGAAGTGTTTTACACTCTTGCTATCCTAAATTGCACAATGTTTGTTGGTTAATTTTAGATAGTTATCCTTGCTTTTAATCCTTTTCAATTTGATCTCATCAACTTCGGTGCTTAATCCATTTTGCTATTGTGCTTACATTGTGAATATCTTAAACATTGTTTAGAATCAGTAATTGGGTTGCCTTCAATTGTATGATTCTCAATAAAAGATTATCATTCTATGGTTGTGATCCAATGATAACCTTGTGAAACCCTATATTGATACCCTTGTGAACAACTTTTGGTAAAAGAAAATACATTTTGAGACAATCCACTTGCGACACCTACTGCCGGCAAAAAAAACAATGATACGGCTTTTCTCGTAGTATATATATATTTTTGGCACCACTTAATGCCACAACAGAAAGTCGATGTGGGCCACCGCAAACTGGTACTTCTACCCTATAGAGGCATTTAATGACAGTAAAGACATTTAGTTGGTTACCTTTGGACAAAAATAATAAGCTCCTTATTAGAGCTAACATAAATATTGGTTTGAAACATTAATTGGGTTGTTTTAAACTTTATTACTCCTTCCGTTTTTAAATATAAATGTATCTTGTTTAAAGTTTTTATACAAGGATTAAGCAAACTATTAAATAATTCTAATATGAGTAAAAAATAATTTCACTAGACTAAAATACTCTTATTTAATTCGTATTAGGAAAGAAAAAAATATGAAAAACACTTAGTCTCCACTTAATTTAATACATTAAAAAATTAAGGATAAATTTAGAAAAAAAATATTAATTATTCTTTGGTTTCATTAAACGACAGATATTATAGAATAAAAAAATTGTGTAAAAAAATAAATATTTAAAAACGGATGGAATGTTGTGACTAAATTTTTAAGATTATAATTTTATGATTGTGATTTAACGACACCCTTAAGAAGTGCAATACGCATACAACTCTAACTAACGTTAAAAAATAAAGTTTTAAATTAAGTATAAAGTACAATTTCTAAGATTATGTCGGTGGCTCTAAAAAGCCGACACAAGAAAGATAAATTCATTGCTTTTTACGGCGATCCATGTTCAACTAGTATTGCCGTTGCAAAAAAAAAAAGAAAACGTGACATGACTTTTCTTGTGTAATGGTATTTTTATCAAATAAAAGCACTTGGTTGATAATGAAAGACATTTATTGCGTTCGGCCTTAAAGGCTTCTCATTCAATCTAAACATCATAAATGGTCATCAAAATCATTAATTGAGTTGATTTAAATTGTATGGATCCGATTAAAAGTAAAGATTACCATTCTACGGTTGAGATGTAATGAGACCATTATCAACAGCTATATATAGGCAATTGTATCAAGCACAATTTCACAAGAAATTGGTTTATTTTGAGAAGACTTGGAGATGAACTCTCATAGGTCAACGATTTAGCAAAAAAAAAAAAGTTGGGGGGAATATTTTTTCCTTTTTTTTTTTTTTGGTAAATCGTTGAACCGATTAGAGTTCAATTCGACCAAAGATGAACTCTAGCAAGGTGGGATTTTACCAAGAATGTTTTGAGAGCTAAGGTTTGTCCATTGAATTTGTCGTATGTTACTGATACTCTTGGAATTAGCTTTTACAAGAAGTCATACACCTCTACATTACCACAAAATAAATGTTTTAGATGGAGGGGTAACACGTTCACGAAAAATGAAAACATGGGCATTTCTCTTGTCATAATTGGGGGCGTCGCGGTAAAAGTTATTTTCCAAGTCAGAGGTCTAATTGCATAACTTTTGTGATGGTAATAGATGCCGTACATAAACCGTCATAACAGGTGGACACGTTTGCTTCTTTTCTTTCTTTTTTTTTTTTTTTTTTGACTTTTTAGCGACGACAATTTGTTCAACCACAAATAATTGTTTTTTCAAAAGATTGAGGGTGGACCAAAGATCTTCGGTTTCAATGTGGCGATACCTTCCTATATCAAATGAAAAACAAAGAAACTCAAGCCTCCCATCCTTATACCATGTTGCATGTTTTTCAATGAGTTCATTCTATCTTGTAATAAAAAAATGAGTTCATTCTAGATATTGTTAAGCTTCTTAAAGGTCATGTTGGGCAATTACCACAAGGTGGGTAATGTTCCACGGGCAATCTAGATGTAACTTGAATTTAGTAGTTGGTCTAATGGTCACCGTCCCGTAATTGTTTGTAAGTTCAAATTTCGTTACTCCGAGGTAAATATTATTTAGAAAAATAAAGAACTTACAATCAACCTTCAGATCTTCTATTATTTGGATGCTGGTACACGATGGTGCTGCTAAGTTCATTTGACCATTGCCCTAGAGCCTGCATCTCTAGGTTGGTCTATCAGGTTGTGTCCTTTATTTATTGCTAGGGCATTTCTAGACTTGACGGGTATGTAATCTTTGTCATTTAACGGTGACACTATGTCATCACCACATCTTTCAATAAGAATATAAAAAATAAGAAAATAAATTTCACATATTATAGTAATCACCCATTTTATATCATTTAATAATTACCTAAGTGAATTTTATCTTACCCACTTATAGATTTATTATTAGATAACGATATCACATAACATTGATGACGTAATGTTATCGTCACACACAATATTTACTTGTACCGGAGGAAGATCGGAGCATGCCCCTTTTGGCTTCCAATATTTGTGTCATCCCTACAAATATGCTTCAAAGCTCAACCTTCTCATTTGGACACCATATGGCATTGGCCATCCAACAGACTTGTGGCCTGGTAGACTTGGGCTTCATAATTTTAGAAACAATTCGTAAACTTGACAAGAAATCATTACAGTATTAACGGAGTTTTGCTTGAAGTTTAGTAGCTTCAAATGGTAAGTCAGTGGATCCGTTAAATCTATCGAATAAATAACTCAATACGAATTCGGTTAAACATAACACAAGTCAATTAAACGCGACTTGTATACAGTTTACACACGATACAAATCCGACACAATATGAACCCGACTATACACCAACTCTTCCAAATCCAATAGCCTCCTACATTTCACCCCCTATTTCTTGTCATTGAAAATTTCAATATATTGGAAGAAACATCTTTAATGGAGTTAAAATTGTATTCTCAGACAAATTTCAAAATATAAAAATTTGTCTGGAATAATTGTAACTGAACAATTATTATTTTGGGCTACCGGTTCATAAGTAAAAAAAATAATTTCATCATAAAATAAAAACACGCATTTTGATCGCTCTATAATAAAATTATTTATGTGATTTTGCTTATGAAATACCCTTTTATACGTGTATATATACATATAATTAAGCTTGAAAGAACAGAAAAAAAAAAAAAAAAAAAAGTTCATCAAAAAAAAAAAAAAAAAACAGTACTTTTATTTTATTTTTTAAAAAATTGTGGTTAAATTTGTACCCCAATCCAAGTGCTTTTATTTATTATTAGTTTATTTGTTATATCATTACTAGCAATAACCCTATGTCTGAAGACATTTTATAATACTAAAAATTAAATATTAATCATGTAATATTTAAAATTTATTTTTATTTTTTCTCTTTAATCACAGAAATTAAATAAAAAAAAGTAAAATAAGAGAGATAGGGAAGAAATAAAAGGGATGTAAATATAAAATAGTGGGATTATCTAGCATTACGTTTGTGCACTGAAAAAGACGTTTTTGAATAGTAAAAAAAAATTTGAGATTTTTTGGAGACCGGTGCTCAGCCCAATAAGATTCCAAAAAAAAAACTCACTTGCCAATATAAAAACACACTAATTGTCAAACTCTTATTCGTTAGCATCTACACAAGAACCGTATGAATTTTTTTTTTTTAAATATAAAGGATTTTTTTATATATGAAAAATTCAATAGGATTAAAATTAGTTTATATACTAAAGAAAGAACTTTAACTTAATTAATGAAAAAAATTAAATTTAATGGTTGTTTTATTGTTATAAACATTAACCATTGCTGCATTGTTGAGAATTTAACTTTGTAGTCGTAATGGAGTAAGCTAACCCGACCATAATACAGAAAGGGCAAAAAAAAAAAAACTCCTCGTGGTGAGTGTTTCATCAACGATAGCGATAAGTTCATAACTGGATATAATTAACAGACAGTAGATAGGGGTGATTGTGGACGGTTCACTCTGTGCTTGCTTGTCTCACAGTGAGACAGAGAGAGAGATAGATGGCGAGACTGTGTATGAATTTGAGCACTGGCAAAGCTCTGACCATGGCATGTGCTAAAGAAGGTGAACATACCAGTGGAGTTCAACTTCCTGAAAAGACTCGAAACTCGAGGGTTCTGATACTTGGAGGAACTGGAAGAGTTGGAGGGTCCACCGCCATTGCTCTTTCCAAGCTCTGTCCCGACCTTCGCATTGTTATTGGCGGCCGAAACAGGTAATTCTCTGAAAATTCTGTCTAATTTATCTTTCTTTTCTGTTTGGTTGTTGAGAAAATTGCCACAAAAGAAAGTTGAGAACCAGAAAAGAAAGTAAACATTTTGAATTTTTTTTTTCGTGCTTTATGTCGTATATGTTGTGATATGTAATGTATCTATCTATAGTGCTTAGGGATTGTTGCCTTAAATAGTGGTAATATATGCTTGGGGAGAAACTATAGAGTGGCTTTTTATCTGTATGAAGTATTTAGTGTCATAGCATCTGTGGGTGATTTATTTTGGCAGCCTTTTGTTTAGTGAAACGGTGTTGGTTTTTCTTTTCTGTCTGTTTGGTTACTGGGAAAATGTGATAAATAACGAAAGAAATATTTTAGGCCAATGTGCTATGTTGTTGTGATTTTTATGAATTGAATAATTCTCTGTTTGCAATTATTGACAATAGTTTTGAAGGACTGGCTTTTATGAATAGAATATTGACCTCCTACATGTTCTCAGACTCAGAGTTCAAAGTTCTCTTAGTTTCAAGAAGCACATGTAATCCAGCTTGATTATGGACTGGATTTTGTGCCTATTAACGCCAGTTTGAAGTTAATACATGTACAAATGGTATAACTGTTTATGATCAATTAAAGATGTGTAGCGGTTGGCATGGATTGATTATATATAAGAGTTGAATTAGAATTTATAGAGCTTTCTAACTTTGACCGACTTTAACTTTGTACCCCTTTTTTTCGGATAAGAGACAAAATTGCAATCTCAACAGAACAGATATGTATATATCATCTGTTTGTTTTTTAGCCTTTCAGATGGTAAATCATTTATTCATCTCTTAGATGTTGTGGTACTCTAGCTAAGTGAAGGGAATTTTACTGATCCAAACATTCCTGATTTGCTTACATTGGGTGGCAACCGAGTAATTTCTGGTTTGTAAAAATTACTCAACCCGAACACGGCCTGTTTAGATTATGCACATTTGGCATGCTTAATTATTCTCTTATCTTCTTTCTCCTTTCTCCAAATTTATAGATAAATGAGCTGTCAATTTTCCCTGTTGTTCAATCTGGAAATTCTTTACTTTTTTATATGAGTGCCTAAATTGTATATATTGTGTTCTTTGACAGGGAGAAAGGTGCTGCTATGGTGTCTAAGCTTGGAGTGAACTCGGAATATGCTGAAGTCAACATTGACGATATTAAATTATTGAAATCAACTTTGAATGGTGCACCAATTATATTAATTACTTGAATTTCAAACTTCCATATCAGAGAAAAATGTTAGGAATTCGGCTTTTCTCATTTACTTGACCTTTACGTAATGAGCCAATTCAAGAATATAATTTCTTTTTCTTATAAAACATTCCATCCTCCTATTCTGTTTAAGTTCATTACTATGGAAGTTCTTAGCTTAGCATATTTTTTCCTTTTGTGATGAACTTTTACTTCCCTTTCCTGTGGGCAGAGGTGCAAAGAGATGGTGGCAACATTAATAAAAATCATTCACTTAGACTTTGAATTTTATCTACTCAATTCCCACTGATGTTCCTAAATCACACTCATGGTGACTGTGATTTAGTTTGCTGTGTGATTTGTGACTGAGTAATTCAGAATTTTTTTTGGTTGGTATGCTGAAGTTGGATCCCAGCTTCTCGTTTGTGGTAGAAGGCACTATTTATTCAAACTCCTTTGTTGACATTGTATGCTGGCTACTGAACATTATGTTGCATGAGCTCTTTGTTTTTGGACTAAATATGTAGGAGGGAGAAAAATACTGACTTGCCATAAATATACTCTACGAATGCATCAAACACTAATAGCATTGCAACTAGAACAAAATAAAAGTGTATACACATCTTAGTGTTTACCATCAGCAATGGCAGTTTTAATCAATTTTATGGGACTATTAGATCTAGCTCCATTCTTTAAATAGGTTGTTGACATGATACCTATTTACTTTTTTGTTGTGTCTGTTGTTATTATCTGTTAATAGTGATGACTTGATTGGAGTCTCGAACCATGACCAATGTCTAGGAACAATAGGAAAGTCATAACTTATGCCCGTAAAATGAAAGATCTTTGTTGTGATCCCTGGCATATTTGAACATTGTAGTTAAAGTGATAAATATTCTTAGGAGTCTCAACAGCTATAGTAGCTGCCACATTGCCCATCTTAAAGATTTGCAAATTCTTACTGTACTATTCTTTTGCACTGTGCAGATGTAGATCTTGTTGTTCACACTGCTGGGCCATTCCAACAGGCAGAGAAGTGCACTGTGCTGGAGGCTGCCATAGAGACCAAGGTGAGACAAAGGTAATTCACATTTTTATAGTTTCTAGAATTTCTTGTCGCCTATGATAATTGCAAGGCATCCTGTCTTTCTGTCAAAGAATGTAACCTTAGTTTGAAAAATGCTTTCTTCCCAACAGACAGCATATGCTGATGTATGTGATGATACAAACTATTCATGGCGCGCAAAATCTTACATGAATCAAGCAGTAGCTGCAGGCATTCCAGCCATAACAACCGGAGGAATCTACCCAGGAGTGAGCAATGGTGCTATTATTTATCCTTCTCAAACCTTTGTACACTATTAAGACACCTAATACAAGAGAGACAGAAGGCAATAATAATGAAAAGCAAAGAGAATTAAATCGAAAGCTGAAACTAAAATCTATGCGACTAGAGTTTTGCTTTTTGTTTAGAGAGAATAATTTCCATAGCGTGATTTGTACATGATCCATGATCTAACAGATTTTAGTCTAGCTTGTGGACACAAGACTATTTTATATGATTGTATTGCTCTTCTTGTCCCATTACTGCTCTCAGTGGACTACAAATTCTGTCGGAAATGTGGGTTTCTTTCAAAAAAACTCAAGTCTATGAGATCGTAGTCAATACACCTGCACTCAAATATGTCTTAGGCACATACATTTGTCTAGAAAAGTGCCTTTTGCTTGTGTAGTCCAACGGTTCGTGGCCCATCCCATCTGATATCTGACCCAAACCGTCCGCATATATTTCTAATTTTCACAGCCTGCACATTCACATTTGACCTGGAACAAGATTATAATGTTCATACAAAATGAATACCTGCGGTCTGTTTCGATGCTTTCTTGAGATATCAAGCTTTGATTCTTCATACTGTTATCATGATAGTGATGGCAGCAGAGCTTGTTCGTACTGCTAAAAGTGAAAGCAAGGGTGCGCCAGAGAGACTGAGGTAATCAGTTTTTGTTTGTTTCTCATTTTTGGTTCCTGGACCTGTTTTCTTGCTGAGCTATTCTGTAAGCAGTATTAAATATCAGTTGAAATACCATATAACTAAATCAAATCTAGTGGCATTGCTCATTCTAAAAAGGTTACTAGTCCCTTTACAGTTCATGAGTAATAATCCAATTTTGACAATAGTCTCCTACATGGTTAATATCTATAACATCCTTAGTTGCAGCAGTATGCACCCTCACATGCTATACTTACAGCAGATTGCAAGCTTTCCCTTACCTTTTTAATTATTCAAGGTTTTGATATTAAAGCGGCATAACCAACTCTTGCAATCATCTGGGACACCTTACCTCTTATTGTGGCACTAATTCACTGAATTACTTTCTCTCCTAGCTTTTGGTTTCTTCATTAAATCACATTTTTGAATTTATCAATGTCATAAGTCCTCTGTAAATACAATCCAAGAAAAGATGTTCATGTGATTAACTTGACATCTGCAATAGATGAACGTCCATTGAGATGCAATGCCTCCATGAATACTGGTTTAACTTGCCTTACATGTTGAGAAGAAGAACAGTATCCAGCACATGAAAGCCTGCAAAAAAAGAATGTTAATCTATTTGTCTATATGTGTGTGTATTGTTTACGTTACTATGATCAGCAAAATATCTTATCGGAAAAATTGTGCAACATAATATGTGGGGATTGCAACAGTAATAGTTGTCTGTCCATCAAGGGGTAATTGGTAGCAAAGCCAGAAATTAAAACCTTTTTTATGTAACTTCATCAACCCGATGTTGGAAACGAATTTAAGGTATGAAAAGCTATACACGGAAATATTGTTAGAAAATAAAAAGTTCTCTATTTTGTGTGATTGAATACATTGAGGCACAGGGAAGAGGCCAGGATGTCACCTTGGGGTAGGGGCGGAAAACATATCCCGAGAAATTTTAACTGTCACGCAAATTATATTCGTTTGAGCAAAATTCCAGTATACTCAATGGACAACTTTAGGTATAATTAGACAAACATATAAACAATGTTGCAAACCAATTGGTACACTGCATGGTAGTTTACTTGAAATACGATAAAAAGCACTGGCCTTCTTTATCCTTAAAAGATTGGTCGAAAAAAGAAAACAAAAATCCTAACCTTTAAACAAAAGGACTACCGATTACAACCCCTTGGCATTCAGCTCTAACATGTTTGAAACAATAGCCTTTTAATAGAGCTTAAGAAAAATAAAGAGATGGTGGTTCCAGTTTCAATCGATTTTAGGGTTTGTGTTTGATTTTCAAATTAACTTCTACAAGATTGAAACATATGAAAGAAAATTAAAAAAAAAAAAGGAAAAAGAAACCAGCACTTCAGACAAAGTGCCTTAACTTAGTGCCAGCCTGGTACTCAAGTTAACATGAAAACCCATATTAATTCCTTCACGAAAATTTTTCGACCTTTTGATAGAAGAAACAGAACCATGAGCAATCCTATTAGTATCTCAAAGAGAGAGAGTGACCTTGAATTAGGAATATTTTTAGTGGAATGTTGAATTAAACCTGATTATGATGAAACAAAAAAGATTAAGCCCAATTATTAGTCTGATCTCCAGCACTCAAACATAACTGAAAAGCAATTAGCAAATTGAGATGTAAGCTAAGGCTGGGACATTTTGGGTTCTCCCCTCATGTGGGTAGTTTTGGTTTCTTTATCTAATTGCTGTCTCTTTCCAAAAAGCATTGAATAGTTTTATCACACTGACCAACTGGTTACTTAGATACAAAAGCAATCACCAATCAAGTTAATGAAAGATAAATATCGTTACTTCTTTCATCTTATAAGACAGCCGGGTCAGTTTGCAAACCAAGCATTTGGATTGTCCACTGCTTGTGCATCATAGCCATCATATGAACTTTTTCAAAAAAAAATTAGGGAGGGAGTCGCAATGTTTACCATTGTGACACACAAGTGTATGTATACTTGGGGTTTTTGGAAATCTTGGGCCATGGACCTCCTTGGTCCTCCTTTCCCTTTGCCCAGGGAAGCACTTCCGGGCAGTTAATGGCATCCAGAAGTATTCATGATGATTATCTGTCAATTTGGCACAAATGCTTGTGCTGTTGCTGATTAGCTTGGTTAAATTATTCTATGTTTACAAGGTGGTGACATTTTTTCTTTTTCATTTCTCAATCAGTTATGGCAACTTACGTGTTAATGTGTCTGTCTCAGATTCTTCTACTACACAGCAGGCTCTGGCGGTGCTGGCCCAACAATATTATCCACGAGTTTTTTACTTCTTGGAGAAGAGGTTGTTGCATATAATAAAGGTCTGCTTTGAAAAAGAAAAAAAAAAAGCATGTGGTTTCTCCTATTTGATTTGCTTGCCTATACTGTATAAGATGCTAACCAAGATAAAGGCTGTTTTACCAGGAGAAAAAATCAAAATGAAGCCTTATAGTGGAATGCTCAACATCGACTTTGGAAAAGGGATTGGAAAGAGAGATGTTTTTCTCTTGTAAGCATTTCAAGAAATTGCTATAATCGTAACTTCATACCTAAGTCCATAGCAACCAATGTAGTGATGAAAGATTGTCCTATCCTCGATGCACCGTATGTATTTTTATGTAATTAATGAAGGGTCCCACATGAACTTTACTCCCAAATGCATCATCAATAGTTTGCACCATCTCTCAAATTACATAATGCCCTTACATTATCCAGTTTTCCGTGTGTACTTAGACTCGAGTATTTTGAATAATTTTTTTATGAGCAGCTAGTATCAAAATTTGCGTTTTGATCACTCATTAGTAGTTCACTCTTATCATCATTTTGTCCACCTTGTAGATTCTATCCTGAAACTGGAATTAAAGGTAAATAAGCATCATTAATACCTTTCTTCTCTTATGGTACCAACTAAAGCCATCTGTTAATATGGATGTTAAGGAACAATATGTACTCTTGGCCATGAGGTTTGGGTTGCTTGTTAAAGATCAACTCACCGAAGTATTAAACCAGCTATTGGATGCCTGTTTTCAGTCAACATTTCTTGAACAAAATAAAGGAATGACCACAAACACAACATAAATTAAATTCTAACCACCAACCCTTTTATATTTGACCTCCTACCAACTAGAAAAGATGACACAGACAAACCTCAGTTTTAAATAACTTTTTGATATCTTGCCGGTGAATTTAACTAATGATTCCCTCGCACTTTTCTTTTGACTTGTTGGGATTGTGAATCAAATTATTCTTTGATGTGAACCTTACAGGTGTGATGGAGTTCACAATTTTGCAAGAACATTAAGAAGAATTGTACATTTTGCTATTCACTTTCATATCCTTGAATTTCCAACATTAAGAAAAACTGCAGGTTTTTGGGGTATTAAGATCAAAATGCACATACTCTTGCTCACGATGCCAGGCATTTTGATGGCCTTGTGCTCATTCAGAACAAAGTATTTTTCTTCTCCAACAACATTTTAGTAATTGAAACTTATTTGCAGGAATTTGCCTGAGGTCAGAAGTGCCCATGAGTTCCTTGGAGTCCCAAGCGTTAGTGCCCGATTTGGAACTGCACCGTTTTTCTGGAATTGGGGAATGACAGCTATGACAAATCTACTTCCTGCTGTATGCCGTTCCATGCAGAAAGTTTATTTTCTGTCCAGATATTGATAATAAGATGCTTCTTTGATATGGGAACTATCCACCAACTTTCATAGGAGGATTAAGAAATACAACTAACAGTGCGTACTAGGAAATCATTATATGTTTCTGAGAGTAAACCATTGATTTTGAGTGTTCTGTTGCATTTGATTTCAACGTTAGAATCAGATTTAGTCTTGGAATGCCATCATACAGGATACAAATGTGTCTAAAGTAACCCAGTGTGTGCTTTTATAAGAGTTAATGTGGTGATAATTATGTGAGCCCATATTTTTGACACTTGGCTGTAGAAGTTGTTGCTCTTTCTGCATCTTTAGGTGCTGAGTTAGTGATATCTTCAGATGAGATGATTGTCAGTTGATATTAACTGCAACTTTGTTCAAGCAACAAATATACAGATTGCAATGCTACTAGGCTCTAGCTCCTTATAGGCCTACCTAATATGCAGCGAATCTTGCAGGATTTTCTAAGAGATAGAAGCAAAGTTAATCGGTTGGTTGAATTATTTGATCCACTAGTTCGAGCAGTCGATGGAATAGCTGGAGAGCGTGTTTCAATGAGGGTAAGATGGCCAACATTGCTTACTGATTTATTGGTTTTTTTGTATCTTATTTTCAGAAAAGCAGATGGGGATAGAGTTCTGCTTGTTGCTAGAAAAATAATTATCAATTAATGCCAGTTGATTTTCATTTTGTCTGGGCAGGTTGACCTAGAATGTTCAGATGGACGCAAGACGGTAGGAATTTTCAGTCACAGAAAACTCTCTATGTAAGTTTTAGCCTTACATTAACTTTTTGACTATGCAACTTCAAAATCAACATCGGATATGAAATTAAGCAGAGAATCTAGTCAACTGATTTACTCATACTGATGATACCTTGTCTTACATAATGTACGTGCTTTTGTTTTTGATGCATTTATTTTAGATCCGTGGGAATTGCAACAGCTGCTTTTGCACTTGCTGTTCTTGAGGGAAGTACACAACCTGGGGTTTGGTTTCCAGAAGAGGTATGTAAATGTCTATATGATCAAGATTCAAACTGTTAACGCAACCAACTCAAAATTCAAAACTAATAGGCAATTATTAAAGAGGCTCACAAGGCTCATATACTAGTTTGACAGGCATTATTATGCCGATGTGGGACAAGCTCCAGCAGAAAAAAGAATTAGAAGACATAACAAATTGCACTTATACCGAATCAATAAAATTGAAACATAGGGTCTTGCCCAAAGCCTTCTTGGCAATGAGTGGAGAGGGTCACTAGGTTCATGTACTAGTTTGAGAGGCAGTATTGTGCAAAGTGGTACTAGCTCTAACAAAAACTTATGCTCCCATGAATTCAAGTTTAGTTTACATGCTCCGTGTAGCCAGAAGGAATCGCAATTGAAGCAAGGGAAGTTCTTCTCAGTCGGGCTGCACAAGGAACAATCAATTTTGTAATGAACAAGTAAAATTTTGTTTCCAATACTCTTCTTTCTTTTATTTTTTTATTTAGTTTTCTTGGTTATAAGCAGTTTTGCCTAAGCTTTTCTTTCAACAGGCCTCCGTGGATGGTGGAAACAGACCCTAAAGAGGTTGGACTTGGAATATATATGTGAACAATTTCTATATCTAATTCTACCACAGTTGAAGGGTATTGTTCAGCTTACCAGCCCACACAACATAGGTAAGACATAAATCTTTGCTTTTGATAATTTGATGCCCACATTCATGTTCACTTAACCATTCTGTTTACTTTTAAATTCTACATTCAGGAAGTGCAAATAGTAGCATTGCAGAGTTACACATTTTGAGGAATTGCGAACCTCCATAGACCCTTATGAGAAGCGAGCAGAAAATCTAGAAACATTTGTATTTTTACTGCAGTATACTAGGTAGAGTTCTCATTCTTTAGAAAAACTGTTAAATGTGTTTCATTCTTTGAACAATCAACCATTGGAAAAACTATTTCATGAACATTCTGATTTTTTGTATTTTACTTGAGCCTTGGTTCGTACCTGATAAAGAGGAGGGAAATTTGCTGTGATGCAATGTCATAAGGGGCCATAAGCCTCGAACAGCCAAATCACATTTCAAACGGACAAAGTTATAACTCAACGAGGTTAAATTAGTACCGATCAAAAGAACTTGGGATTAATTACAATTTTCTGCCATCGACCTTTTGTGTTTTGAACATCGTCTTAAATTTCTTGACTTCGTTTTTAACAATTTTGACCTTATTGGAACGATTTTCTTAGAAAATTGCTGTCATTTTTTCCTTGCAATCTTTGTACCCTCCAGCAAGATATAATGTGCTTGGCCAACATAGTCATACTGAAGGCCACTGCAATTCTTGAAACCCAATACCCCTTCCTCCTTTGATTTGTATCCAACCACCAGGTCCAAGGCGGATCAGTATGGATGCAGTTTTCCCTCTAGTGCAAAGGACTATTTACATAATTTGAGCTTATGACACCCATATCACATTGAAATAATCTTAACATTTGTCCCCAAGTCCTGCGCTCAATAATTAGTGAGAAAAGGAAAAAAAACAAAAATTCGCATCAATTGAACCCAAAATTCCAGACAATGGGCCTGTTTGGGAAGGGCTGAACACCTTAGTTTTTTTTTTTTTTTAAATATAAGAAGAAAAGAAATCAGATCCATTTGAACTCGAACTTATTAGGTAACTTTTCTATTAGAGTTTTATCGGAGTACTTCTAAGGAAAAGCCACTCTTATAAAAATATTCCAAATAATTCTAAGAGTTTTTTTATTTCACTTTTAAACCTTTGTTTCGTACCTAAAAAAATCAGGTCAAAACGAGCTGATCCTTCCGCAGGAATGATTTAAGGAAACACTATCATAGAGTGGTTCACATCCATCCCTCGAAGCTTCATAATATTCTCAAGACTACTGTTAACCTGAGATCAACCTGAAGCCCTGCTTACAAACTACAGCAAAAAATAGAACGCAACCAAATACCTGAACCCAAGTTATTTGTCTGAGAAGTCGGTCAAAGTTAAAACACACAAGCTTTCCTCTCATTGCTCATTCATTTGCTGAATTTTCATACCAATATAACAAACAGTTACTGTACAATCCAATATATTTACTAAGACGCTTTATACCAAAACAAATATGTATAACACATGTTTGATTCAACCAGGACCTCCATGGCCTCTTTGAAAAAACCACTATGTTAGTAATGTCACGGCCAAGAATAGCAAATGTCGCGACCATATTGTCTGTCTGATTAACACACTGCTGCATCAGTATTTGCTGCTTCTTTATCTCATTTACGGTATACTATCATCCTTTCTCAGTTGCATCAATACATCATCTGCATTTGTACATGTTGCCCGTACACAAACAGAACTCACATTCTAAGAGAATCACTTTCCTCCCTCCCCCATATAAAGCTACTATCCAACAATCTGTTTGAAATCCTAAAATATGGTTGATAAAAGTATTTCTGCTAGCTTCCCCAAATTATGTGTTTAGCCTTTGAGCATACCAGAAATCTCAGTCAAGCATTCAACATCTTTGAAACCTTTATCTACCATTTGCCTCCTGTTCTTTGTTGAGTTGACGGAGCCATTGCCCCTTCTTCTGAAGCTCTATACTGAAGCTTTATAGAATATGTAGCAGGCTGGACAGAGCAATTGTTCAACTTGGACTTTTGATGCAACGAGAGATTTGAAATTTCCAGACTGCTTTCACAGATCCTGCCAATAATTGGTCACGTATACTTGTCCGATTGAGTTCTTTCTGACCCTCTATGCACAGAGTTTCCATATGATCTCCGTACCTCTTGCCATTGTTGCCTGCTGCCACTTCTCTCAAATGGACAATTCTGGAAATCTGCATGCATTCTCGACATGCTGCTTCCATAGCCTCTATTATGGGCACTTCTCATCTCTTCCTCAGTATCATACCTTGACCGCTACAAATAGAAAGCATTTACCAAGTGAACACTAAGCAAGGACAGGAAAATTATGAAAATAGAAGATCAGTTTAAATTATATGCATTCTATCATACATTATAAATCTACTGTATACATCCCATTATAATTATAACAAACCCGCTAGTGTACTATGTTTCTGCATTCATCACAGTTAACTAAAAAAGGCCCTTCCAGAGAGCCAAATAAAAGAGGGAACTTAAGATATTAACAGTCCAGGTACAAAACTGAGGCTAGTGAAAGCATAAGTGGAATTACTGGTGAGCATTTCAAGTAGGGAAAATCATATAAAACAACAAACGGTAACAAGTAAATCCATCATGCACTGTTGTATGAATCTGAAGATAAATCATTCTCAGTTTGGACATGAAGGTATGGAACAGGATCAGAGAGGTGTATATCAGTCAACTAGAGGGCTTTCATAGTGGCGTAGTCCACGGCTCTGCCACATGACTACATATTTTACTGTGGGCGATGAGAAGTGAACCCTTGACACCCCCCACCTCCCCTCCTGCTGTCCCTATAGATAGAATGCAAGTGCTTTACCCCAATGCTACAATGACTCTGACAGCTGCATGAATTTATTTTTCCCTAACTCCTTGCTTTCTTCCTCGCTCCTTTCTCCCCCAGCAAGAACAAATATTAATTTGGTACCAGTCGGCTCTATTACAGAAATCTATGGTCTTATCGTGGATATTCAATTCTAAAATTAACAAGATATGGGGAAAAAAGTATAATAACAAGTAGAATTCTCCTGTTTATGCTTATATCCTGAAAATTTTATTTCCAGTTTTTTATTTTTAAAAGCTTAATAGTTCTGAAGAATGAGAGACATGTCACCAATTGTCTAGTCTCTGCAAGGTAGAGGAAAAAAGGTGGGAGACTCGTGCATACAAAATGAATACAGCTGCAATCCCTTATTTAAAAGTGATAGCAACAGTAATTGGCAAAAAAGCACTTCAACATCACAGAAAGACTGTATTTAAAATATGGCAACAGGATGCTCAAGCCTTCAAAAATTTGAGGCCCTTTCCTTTCTCTTGGCCCAGAGAGAGATGTATATGTTAAAATAAGACCTTGGTAGGGTCTGAGAGTACTGCATATGCCTCTCCAATCATTTTAAACAGCCTGTCAGCATCTTTGTGGACCTCTTCTGCTATTTGCTTCCAGAGCCCATCATCACCATTCTCACTTCTAGCCAAAGATTGACCAGCCTACATCAGTCAAATAATTTTTTAGAAAGAGTGCAACGAAAGAACCATGTTGATATAGCAGCAGCAGAAGTAAAAGGCCAAAAACCTTGTCGGGATGATGTCTGAGTGCAGCTTTCCGATAAGCTTTCTTTATTTCTGATGTGGCTGCAGATGGATCTATGCCCCTGAAATGTCAAAAGCATCATGTCACCTATAGTTAAAGACATCTATGATGAAAACAACAGATTGTCAATAATACAAGAGAAGCACAGATATGATCTTCTGAAACAACACAAATGAAATAACCATGCCAAAGGCGCTTAAAAACACTTGGTGATTTTGAAATGAAAATCAAGAAGGCAATGGTCAGTTTATTTTGATTAGAAGGCACATACTTACAGATTAGCTTTGACAATGCCCATGGTATATGCACAGCACTGGTCATATACAGACATAAAAGACTACTGCAAACAAAGTTCCACCCATCCCTCAGAGAACTTAGACAAATTTAAAACGGTAGACAACTGCCACGCGTCAAACCCCTTGTATGTCCAGAAATGATACTGACAGCCCTTCTACTTCGTAGGTCCATCTCAGAGAGTACCCTGCTGTGACTAGTAACAGGACAAAAGGTTGATGCCGTGAAAGAATTCTTCGACTTACCAAATAATACCCTTTACCAGAAACGTTCCTTCTTCGCACTCTCTTTCTCTCAATGCCTCATTTAAAGCGCATGCACACACAAACACACACTCTTTCACATGCCCCAACATGGCACCACCACCACCACCACCAATTCACATACCTCTACCAAGAGTTTCCACCAACACAAAGAAACAGTCAATCCATAAGGCTACCCCAACATAAAAGATCAATCGATCCCACCATAGACTACACACCTGCATACACCCCCAACACAACTCATGGACAATCCTGACATCAAATTCCCCCACTGTCACCTTCACTATAACCACCACTAATATCATCGAGCTTGCGACTGGGAAATATCAACCCATTGTCTATGGATGTGTTATGTCAGGCTCTATAATTAGTTTAGAGATATTTCTATGTTTGCATTTATAAATACTCTGGAGTGCAATTGTGCATTCTAGCGCAGTACCCTTCGCATAGTTTTTCTTGACTATTATTTTTTCTCCAAGTTTCTTTCTTCTTTCTCAATACCCTATAACTTCACAATCAAACTTGGTATCGCAACCTCGATTGAATCTAAAACTTTAAATTTTGTTGAACCCACCGGAATACATCCGACCATAATTGTTAATATCGTACGATACGTTACGATCCAGGCCTAAAACGATATGGATCGTAGTTATGTATCGTTTTTGCGTTGTATTGTCCGATACACAATACGTTTTTATGATATGATACGTATCGTTCCAATACGCATGACACGTGCAAATTTTTTTTTTTTTTGAAACGACGTCGTTTTGTGCCTAGAGTTTTTTTTTTTAATCCCTATAACCACTGAAACGATCAATGGCTAGGGTTGCAAAAAAAAAAAAAATCCCTCATTTTTCATATTCATCGTTCGCTCATCGCTGGTCAGAGCCTCAAAGGTCTCTAGTTTTTCCTTCAGCCATCGACAACGAGTGTGGGTGATCGATTGGGAGTGATCGATTGTGGGTTTGAGATTTTGACTACGGATGATCGCTATGGGTGATTGACTGTGGGTGATCGCTGGTCTTCGACTGTGGGTGATTAGTGATCACCGGTCTTCGAAGCCGCCTCCATCAAAGCTGCATCTCTTCCATCTAAGCTGTCTCCATCAAAGCCCAGGCTCCATTGAAGCTCCCTTCTTCCTTCTCCACTCCAAGTACTCCATTGAAGCTCCCTTCTTCTTCTTCTTCTTCTTCTTCTCGGTCTCCATCGAAACCTATGGTCCTGTGCAGTAAGAAATGATGTTAATTTATTTACAAAGCCAAATATATATATATATATATATATATATTTTGTATAAAAATTTTTGAATCTTGATTAATTTTAAACAGTGGAGTCTGTTTAATTTCTAAATCTTGATTAATTTCTGAATCTTGATTAATTTTTTTTTGTATAAATTTCTGAAACAGTGGCATCACTTGCATCCAATTTTCATATAGAAATGACTAAAAATCTTACTAATGATCCCACATGGGAACATTATGACAAAGTAAAAAGATCAAGGTTGAAATTGAAATGCATACATTGTGCAAATGTCTATTGGGGAGGCATTTCAAGAATGAAAAATTATTTGGCAGGTAATCGCAAAGATGTAGCATCGTGTAAGCATTGCCCTAAGGAAGTAACTGAATTTTTTAAGCAATTGTTGGATGATAGGGCAATTAGCACAGATATGAGTCTTGTGGATTCAAAAAGTAATGGCAGTGTGGATAGTACTACTGCTTATAAAATACAACCAACCACCACCATTACTTTGAATACCATGTTGAAGAAAAAGGGTAGGGAAGATGTATACTTGGATATTTATAGATGTTTTTATGCTAATGTCCTTCCTTTTAATTTGGTAAAGGATTCATATTTTGTAAGAATGTTAGAATCTGTTGAATACTTTGGCAAGGGATTGAAACCACCATCGTATCATGAGGTGAGATGTTCTTTTTTGAAAAAAGAAACAGATTTGATTAATGGTGGGTTAATAGAAAATTATAAAGTAGAGTGGAGAAAGACGGGTTGTACTCTTATGTCTGATAGATGGACTGATGGGAAACATCGCTCTATTACTAATTTTTTAGTGAATAGTCCTAGAAGAAATGTGTTTCTTAAAAGTATTGATACTTCAGGCATATGTAAGAATGCGGATAATCTTTTTTAACTTTTAGATTCAATGGTAAAAGATATTGATGAGGACAATGTTGTTCAGGTTGTGACCGATAGTGCATCGGCTTATGTAAAAGCTGGGGAGTTGCTAATGGAAAAGAGGAAAAAGTTGTTTTGGTCTCCTTGCGCTGCACATTGTCTAGATCTTATTTTGACGGATATTGGAGACCTTCCTCTACACAAGGATATAATGGCAAAGGCAAGAAAAATCACAGTTTATATTTATAAACATTCTTGGGTGTTAAATCTTATGAGAAAATTTACAAAGAAAAGGGATTTGGTGAGAACTTGTGTGACCAGATTTGCCACTTCATATTTAACTTTAAGGAGTTTATTTGAGAATAAAGGCTTAGAACAATGTTTGCTTCTGAAGAATGGCAGATAAGTCATTACTCTAAGAAGGAAGAAGGTGTAAAAGTGATGGATATTGTACTAGCTGACCAAAATTTTTGGGGATCAATCAAGTATTGCTTGAAGTGTGTGGTGCCATTAGTGAAGGTTTTGAGGCTTGTAGATGGGGGATATAAAGCCTGCCATGGAGTATATTTATGAGGCAATGGACAAGGCAAAGGAACAAATCCAAAAGAATTTTCATAATGTGAAGAAGCACTATGAGCCCATATGGACTACTATTGACACTAGATGGAACATGCAATTACACAGACCTCTTCATGCAACTGCCTATTATCCATAGTTGTTAGTATCGTACGATATGCGAAACGTATCATACGATACGTTACGATACGGATTGTAATTATATATCGTTTTTGCACCATATCGTCTGATACACGATACGTTTTTACGATACAATACGTATCGGTACGATACGACCGATACGCGTAAAACCTATTTTTTTTTTTCTAAAACGACATTGTTTTGTCTAAATAAGACACTAATTTTTTTTTTTGTATAAAAATTTCTGAATCTTGATTAATTTTATAGATTGAGTTCAAAATGGATGATAGAAATTTGGATTAAAAGTCTCTTTGGGGTTTGAAGTTTGAATTAGTGAACTATGGTTGTAAACTTTGCATTATAATATTAGCGAACTATGTTGATGACTTAAATATGTGGTGAAGTATGAATGAAATGCTATATTTTTATGAGTGTATGATTTTTTTTCAAAGGTATATATATTTTTTTATTATTTATTTAAAATTGCACCGTATCTTACGATACATGATACGATACACTATTTTTAAAAAAAGATACGCCTTCCGATACACGATTTGATAACTATGTTATTATCTCAATCCAGCGTAAGATTGAAGTTTCTCAATTTTTATATCATTTTATATCTATATATTGTATACTGATCAATGATCATTGTAAATCAAAATAACTATTTCAGGTTTCATTACACCGTTAGTGCAGACTATGAGATAAAGATGAGACTTTATCAGACTATTTAGAGAATGTGCCCAAGTCCAATTGTGAGAGAAAAAGTTGATAAACAATTAGATATTTTTTATAATGCTGATTTGATGTTTGGAATGGACATGGCAATCCAGATGAGGAAGAAGAAACAACCTGGTTAGTGGTAACCTAACTTAAGTTAGTCATTTAATGCAATTGCTTAAGTTAGTTAATGCAGTATTCTGTTGTAATTTTTTATAGCGTTGTGGTGAGAATCATTTGGAGGATGTTGTCTAGAGTTGCAACAACGTGCTATTCGTATCCTTAACTTGACTTGTAGTGCCACAGGATGTGAGAGGAATTGGAGTACATTTGACTAGGTACACTCTAAGAGGAGAAATCGATTAAAGCAACAAAGATTAAGTGTACTTGTGTTTGTGAAGTACAATCATCGATTGGAGGCAAGACACCAAAAGAGAATACTAGAGGGTGATTCCTATGATCCTATTTCTCTCTCAGATATGGAATCTGATGATGAGTGGATCACTGAAAAAGAAGATGCACTCTTTCCTGAGAGGACACTAGTTGGATGAATGTTGGTGAATGTTTTGAAGTTCAAGAAGGGACTAGCAAAAAGAGAAAGAGGGGTAAATAGTATATAATTAAAATATAGTGGTTATTTTTTCTTCTTCTCCATTACTTTGAATATATTTTTTTCTATTTTGTATTTGTTGTTTTGTAGGGTCTAAAAATCTTTCTTTAAATAAGAAAAAGGGGAAGCAAATAGTTCAACTTGAAGATGAGGATGAACAATACAAAAAGTTGAAGATGATGAAGGAAGTGAAAACTTGTTGGCATCCGATCACAATGATGATGATGATGCATTTTCAATTGAAATTGAAGATTGATTTCAAAATGAATGTTAGAAATTGGGATTAGAATTTAGAAGTCTCTTTGGTGTTTAAAGTTTGAATTAGTAAACTATGGTTGTGAACTTTGCATTATAATAGTAGTGGATTATGTTGATGACTTGAATAGTTGGTGGAGTATTAATGAAATGTTATGTTTTTATGAATGTATGATTTTTTTTCAAAGGTATTTATATTTTTTTATTATTTATTTAAAATTGCACCGTATCTTACGATACACGATACGATACACGATTTTTAAAATACAATACGTCTTCCGATACACAATTTGATAACTATGCATCTGACAAGGACAATTGTGCCTGGCGTCAATATCTAACAAGCTAATGTCAGCACCGATCACATCAGGATTTTTCAACAGCACATGAACTAAAGGTTATTTTCTAAGAAATATCGGAATACATTTGTCTTCTGTTTCTAAGAATAATAATTATTTTCTTGTAATTTTTTGAGGCCTTTTAATTGGACTTTTGGATTTTTTTATGCTTTTTAGTTTTCCATGATACCCAACCTCAAACAATGATTTTTGAGCATTTGACTGTTGTTTTTAACTTGATTCTAGGATAAAGTGTGATTTATGAAACACGGACACTCACAAGAAGGTGACATATCCGTGTCAGACACCGACACTCCCCGGATACTTGTGCAAGACTCTTTTATCAGTGTCCATAATTAAATGATAAAATTTTAATTTCGGACACATGTCCGACACTTCTTTGGTGATGTGTCCGATACTTCTTTAGACCATGAAATATGTGTTAACACTTAAAAATTAGATTAATAAATACAGATATGTTAAACTTGTACTAAAAATACAATAATAAAAGCTAAAGATACATAAAAACTTTAAACAAGAGGAATTGGTTAAATGAGAACAATCATTTAACCCATATATGTTGGGTACACATTGTATATAAAATAATTTATGATTATTTGACTATTATTATGTTTTAGTCTAAAAATTCACACTATATCACTAGACATAAAATCTACTTATTATAAAATACTGAATATTTTATGAATAGTACATTATTGTCACTATATTTGTAACAAATTATAATATCATATATAACACAATTATCTATAGCGTGTCTCCCAATGTGTCAGTGTCCTATTTTTTTTTTGAAAAATGTCGAGTCTGCGTGTCCGTGTCCGTGTCCGTGTCCGTACTTCTTAGGGTATGATTAAGGCTTATATCAAATGTCAATTAAAATTTGTTGGGAAGACCCGAACATAATGTTTGCTAATATTTGGCTTCTAATTGTTGTGTGGCAGATGGCAACTATTCGAGGTGTTCTTTGGGTATGGTTTATTTCTTGGACTTGGATAGTGATTTCCAATGAAAGCTTGCCTTTTTGACACTAATCCTATTGTAGTGATGATAAGTCGCAAGTCATTATCACTTGTACTAGTATCAGAGGGAAGCGTGCTGAGTCGTGTAGGGGTTCTTGCAAATGACTCCTCCATTATTCGACTTAACATGTTCTATTCCGACACCGTACCGTTATTCGTTCCTTGTAAACTACAAATGTCAGGCGACTTGGCCCACTTGTTTAAGACATCTCCAAGTTAAAACTCGAGTCGTCAGAATCACCATCATTAAACGTGCCAATGTCGTTTTGTCATGCTGCGATATGACAAGAATCTCGCATCATGTCATAGCATTTTGTGCATATTGCCCAATGCCCAATAGTAAGTTGCTCAAATTAAACTACACAATATTCAAGAAGCCTCATCTCCTAATATGTCATGCACATATTTAAACATGTTAAAAATATAGGATGAAAATCATATAAACCTCAGAAAAATCTATATCTGGTTAAAGACAGCATACTGCTAATTGCAATAGTTAGTGATAGACAATCGAACACATCTCAGCTTAGTTTAATTCAATTGACTTAGAGGTGAGTCAACGATATATATCAATGCACAAGAATGGACAATGCTGAAAAATATCAAAATCTGCAACTTCTTGGTACTAGCTAAAACTCTTCAAACCTTGTGTGAAAACTATTTTCTTAAGTACAAGAATTAGCTCAAATATCATGCATTAAGCCCTTGCATACAACTCACAGCAAAAAGAAAAGAAGGAACCAATATGAGATAACCACACAAAAAACTCCAAGGTGGGTACAGCTTTATGGTTCACATCGGACATGTTGCAGAGGGTTGTACTAACTCAGCAATGGTATGACAATAAAACTCTCATTTGAAGCCTGGAAGGCATATGCTTGAGTAGAATAAGGTAATTGCCGCATGATTGATGGTTATGATCCTTACAGGCCACCACATCACATAAAAGGTAGCAATTCTGCATTGTTCTATTCGTGGAATTAAAAGAAACTTACAGAATGAGGTACATATTCAAAGTGATTTCCTTTCTGGATTCCTCTTCCATTACAGAAAGCTTTACTTGAGTTTGTTTTAGCTCATTTATCCAGTTCATTTTATCAGATTGTCCAGACTGGTTGGCCTTTTCCTCAACTTGCTTTGTGAGAAGAGATACAAGTCTCCGGAGATCTAGGGCGGCTTGTCCATAATCTCGAATCATCTCAAACAAAGTGGCCCGTCTAGAAATTGCCTGTAAAAGTTAACCACAAATAAAGCAAGATATTTACCAATAAGGGCTCATAAAGTAAATCATGACCTTTCAAGTGTTGTTCCTTATTTTTTCTGAACAGACATTTTGAAGGTGGTGTTATAAATGATGCACAGAATTACAGTAAAAAAAATGATATTTTTTCAAAAGAAGTATTTGACAAACTACTCTGAAACTAAAGAAGATTAAAGCCATCAACAAAATGTTTAACTTCACAAAGTTTTTCAAACAAGTATAACTTAAAGACAAAAAACAAATATGAAATACGAGATATACCAAAAGAAAAAAGTGGAGCAAAAACAATCAAGAACAAGGCACTCATACCACAACTTAAAACCCTACCATTCCCAAAATAGTATAGCCCCACGGCCCCAAATTTTTAAGAACATTCAGAAGGCATCAAGGCGTATCTGAACTGTATGTCCAACGTGTTATAAAATACTACACCCACTCACTAACAAAACTTCAATTGTAACTCTTCAGTGTTTAAGCCTCAGTATGAGGAAAAGCAATTATACCACTCACACACAACCAAATGGGCTTTCAGCATTATCATGATAATAGAAATGAAAGCCTGAAATGTCCTGCAAGATGGGTTGGGAGAGAGAGAGAGAACAGAAGTTTGGGGGTGGAGCTCTACCTTAAGCAAACCCTTTTTGGGGGTGGGGGGTGGGGTTGGTTTAATGTAGTCTCCATGAACATAGGCTCATCAGCCCTTATTCCATGAGGAAACCAAGGAGAAACATACACATTTCCAAATAGTGACTAAATGGACCTGCGACAAGTGAATTTGTGAAAATAACTAAATAAGACCTAGAATAACCAATCATCTTACCCCAGAACTTACTAGAATTTTTACTTGAAAACTTAGGGTGTTTGAATGAGAGAATGGAAAATGTAGTATCATAATATCGTCATTACTACATATCTGTCCGCCCAAAAGAAAAAATATATACAACTCAACTCAACAAAGCCTTCTCCTAACATTTTTGAAATCGGCTACATCAATCATTTTCACCATTGTGCTCAACTAGAGGCTATACTTTCTTTTAAATCATAAGCTATCATTTTTTTTTTTACTATTTTATTTAAAGAATTTTGATTTTCCTCTTCCTCTTTGATTACCGACAATAGCTATTACATCGCTCTTTCTTGCTGATACAGTAGTATGTCGTCCATGAATACATTCCAACCACCTAATTCGATTACCCATTAATATACCTAACATAAATTATTATAGGCCAAGAAAATTCTTTGAACTGACATCTCACATAACCTATGGAATTAGTCACTTCCTAGAGAATGCTTTGTGCACAAAACTAAAGTATAACTATTAAGGCTAAATGCATTCTCAGGACTAAAAATACGTGATGCTTCTGTCCACAACCACAAAACAAGAACTCTCTCCAGCATGTATCAATTCCTCTAGTCACTTAGGAAGGAATTCAAAACAGAGATGAATAGTTTAGTCAATTAGGATAAGGCACAAGTGAACTCTATAGCAGTAAATCTTCAAGATCATATCTTCTCTAAACGATAAAAAAAAAAGTACAAGAGAGGGATAGGTTTTCTCTTGCTTCACAAGCCCTAAGTAAGAGACTGTCATGAGTATTGATTCGATGGTAGAGTGCAGTCTCATATTGTGTCGTCTGTGTTTGGAATGAGAAGCTCATAGCCAAATAGATCCAATTTGTTGAAGATTTCAGGATTTGACAATGTGATTAGCTAGGAAATAATGAAATACTTGATAACAGTTGCTTATCTCTGCTAATAATTCTAACCACCATTCAACATTTCTTGATTTTGGACACTTGTCTGGCACAAAGAGCATACAACTAATCAAGTGTATATGCATCCAACAATTGGGTATGACTTTCATTAGCGTGACCCATGACATATATGTGCATAACTGTATCCATATCTACATACACATACACATTTGCCACATTATTTATTAGCTTATCCATGAGATTTTGATACTTTTTGAGTACTATAATTGAGAAGTCAAAGGTTTAATGTTTAAGCCATAGAATTATGAATATATTTATAATTTTACCACATATAGAAATAAAACACAAGCTAAGCATAAAAATATATTTCCCTGCTGTTTTTCCTTGTGTCCTTTTGCATCAACTTGTCTGTGTTATATCCATCTCCCACAGTGTACATGCTTCACAGCATTTTCACAAGAGGTAAAATGATAGAAAACCGTCTTCTTTTGACAACAGTTAATGGGATCCTGAAACCCTGACCTAACAGGTTTTCGCAAATGAAATTGCACGATATTTTGCCAACAGGCCACCCAACGTTGAAACTAAGGCACAAAACAAATCTGTCCTTCATTTGATATTTAAACTCAACTCAACAAAAACTTTATCCAAGCTATTTGGGGTTGGCTTCATGAATTCTACTTTTTACTTTCTCCATTGTGCTCTGAGGACCTTATTTTCCGTGAAACCATGAGCTATCATATCTTTTTTTCACCATTTGGTTCAAAGTTAATTTCAATCTACCTTAACCTCTTACATTAAATGGAACAAAGCAATCTTTCCCACTGGTACATTACTAGGTCTCATATAAACATATTGGAACCACCAAGTCGAATTATCTTAATCTATCTCCTTTTGGTGCTACTTCTACAATTTCACGAATGTGCTCATTCTTAATTCTCTCTTTTGTTGTTTTACCATGCTTCTTTTTTAACATTCTCGTTTCTACAACACTTAATTTTTTAGGATGTTGTTTCTTAATTGCCCATCATCTAATGATATTTCTTGATCGCCGATCTTTACCTCTATGATTGAATCTCTACTACATACTTTATATTATTATTCAGTTTATTTCTACCAACCTGAATCATTTTGATTCTAACCTCGTTTAGGTTGCTTTCATCATTATTGTGATGGCTTAATAATTGCATATTAATTAGATATGCTGCTCGACTTTATATTGGATGGTCCTCACATAGAAGATAGTTTCCAGCAAAAAAAGCCCATCTGTGTAATTTCTGCCCCTTGTCTACTCAATGGGAGAAAGATTTTTTATAACTATAATTTTCCTTAACTTCACAAAAAATAAAATACTCAAGAATTTCGAAACAAACAAAACCATTTGTAACATGCTTAACATTAAAAAAAATCAAATTTAGGAACCCACAAGTTCCTCCTCAACAAAGTCATATTAAAGAACTATGGATAATAGATTTTCGAGAGGCAAGCCTTCAAACAAGGGAAAGAAGATTGTTAGATGCAAACCTTCAAATAATTTTCATCAAGGGCCATAGCCAGGCTGCAATCTGCAATGGCATCCGTGATTTGGCCCATAGCTCGGTACGCGGCAGCGCGATTGCAAAAACAAATTGCAGCAAAAGGACGTGACTCAACATTGCATAATATTGCAGTGGTATAATGTTCAATAGCATCTGCATGCTTTCCTGATTGAAATGCTTCATTTCCTGCAGCCTTAAGTTTCAAAAAAACTACTTAAAGCATCCCATCTTTTCAAGTGTAGAAGTACTTGGTTAAAAATTTTATAGCATCAAGCTACAATTCAAAATAAATTGTTAGATATGAGGAATGAGACATAGTAAATTTGCAGAATGCAGAGGAAGAAGAAACAAAACAGAAAGGTTCTACAAAAAATTCATGGACACCAAGCTTTTAAATATTAGTAGTGACTGTGATGAGAGTCCTGACCATGGTGCCTGAAGAGCTCAGGGAGCAAAGAAAGGAGATACAATGGTTGGTTCATTTCAGGTAAGGTGAATAATTGAGTGTTTTGAGCCAGTTTTCTATGCTGAGTTTTGCAGCTCTTCATTTCCCTTCTACTTGTGCATTAAAGTATCTCTCCGGTAATTATTTTTGAAATTGGATTTTGGATACATAAAGTATATCGTTTGTTCATATGATAAAATATACTCTGTATGTTACCATTTCCAATGCTGCAACTTTCTTTATTCTCTCTTTCTTTATTGTATAATCTATAATAGGGATGATGTCTTTTGTATTTTTTATTATAGTCCATTGGTTAGGCTGGCAATTGTTCAGCATGGCCAACAATCAAACCATAGGGTCAAAAGAAGAATTTCGTGAAAGCACACGAAAGTGGTTGACGACTTAACGCGTTGCTTGAAGCATTATTTATCAGTCAACAGTTATCACCAAGAAACATAAGCTTGCCCCAAGTTCTAGAGTATATAGCAATAGTTAGAAAGAGATCTTTCCCTTATGCCAAAGCACAAAAGACAATATAGGCTAAGCTTCTTCAAGAGATCAAAATTCACTGTTAGGGACAAATAGACATCCAAATATTTCCACTACCCAAGCATAGAATCAGTGGGTAATTTAACCACTCAATTACTTTACCTTTTTTGAAGTAAAGCCTCTTACTAGGGGAGGAGAGAGAGACAAATTGAAGTCATTTTTCTGGCATCTTCAAGGGCACACATGACGAAAGGGTCTAAGATACTCCTCTTTTTTGCATTGTTGGAGATTGGAGATCGTTGTGTATTGTAGAATTATGATGATCAGAGTATTTTCTTTTATTTTCTAGTGTGGATAGTTGGCGGGATGTATGGTTCTCCATTGCACCTGCAGTTTGCACTTTGTTCTTTCCTTTTTATACAGTTTCGATACTCACAAAAAAAGAATTATGGTTGAGGTATATATTTACACAACCTGAGAGACAAAGATGTAATCAATGGTAGTGTAGTTAAGTGCAAATCACCAATTTTGATTTGCGGTTAATTCATGTAAACCGACAAGCAAAATACATAGTTTTGGTCCAAAAAAAAAAATCTTCTTCCCCATCAAAGAGCCCTAGAACCCAGGCCTCAGCTGTGTGATTTTTGTACTTACGTTCCTGTACAGCAACTTTTCCACAGATCTTAAGGCTGCCAAAGATCTGTAGTTACGATTTTGCTTTAGAAATCTAAAGCAATTGCTTTTCCATGATCTTGGAGGACTTGTTCTAATAGTTAGCCTAGAAATATATACTTATTGAATAAGGTGGAGTAAATGCAAGGTTTATGTACATATATCCAATCATATAAGCAAAAATGTGCCATAACCAACAAGTGGTTAAGCAAATTGTGTCTTAAAGCAACAAACACACTCACCTTGTGGCGTAAGAGCTCCCGTACAGTGCCAGCTAAAGGTATCAGTGATTCCAGAGTCTTATTATGACTCCTGCAAAAGATAAATTAGCATTAGAAAGTTCAGTAACATGAACAGAACAATCTGATAGAATCCTTGAAACAGAAAATAAAATCTCGTATATAAGCGTAATAAAAATCACCTTTCCATGACAGGCAAAGACCCCTCTTGCTTCTTCAGAAAATCAAGAGCTTCCTCAAGCCTGCCCAAATGAAAATAGGACTTAACTATTAGGGACCACCTCCAGAGCCTGAACGAAGAGCTCCTTTGTAGGTCAGAACTATCCAAATTCACCGACTGGCAAGCCCTTGTTGTCAAAGTGTTCGACCCGGCAGAATTAAGAGTCTGCTCACACAACTGAATCACCTCTTCGTACTTTCGTAGCTGTAAGATGGAACAAGAAAACAAATGTCAAAGATAAACCTCAAGGTGAATTATCAATTGCTCAAATATAGTGTATTGTAAGATTTTTATACTTCTTAGATACTTATGAGCCTGTCACACGGGTTCATCAGCATGTATCATGTATATGAGGGACATTCGACACCTTCTCAATGGTATGGGACATCTAGCAATTGAAGTTGGTAATATACTGGTACACAACAACATTTCTCTGTGTTCATTTAATTTTATAATCACTTTCAAATACTACATGAATGTGATGATTAGACACATACTCACGACTCACACTCTTACTGAAATCTAGTAGCATTGCCTAGGACTAAAGTTTAAAATTTTCAAACCATATTAGCACAAACCATGAAAAGAGCATCAGCTTTTGTCTCAAGTAATTTTTCTGAGCAAGTGCCGATCATCAAAGCCTCAGCAATTACACCCAAAGCACACTCTGCATCACTAGACGATCTCCGCTGCAGGAACTCGGCAGATTGCTTCATGCACTCTGACACTTTCTGGAAAATAAAAAAAACAATTCTAGTATTATTAGATCAAAATGTTTGCCCATACTCAGAATAATGAAATTAAAAAGAGCAATATAAAAAATGAAGAAACCAAACTTGAGCACAGTTACTTTCATTTTCAAACTTCAATAAATCCCACCACAATACATGCATAAGGCCCAATATGGATGGCAGCAATCCTTATTGAGAATGGGTATCACATTCCTGATAAAAAAGATACCTAGGCATCAATTACCATAGTAACCCTCTACTCATTGTTTGGTTAAGGTAAGGATTGTGCACACCAATACCCATCTCACAACATAGAGAACGAACCCACAACATCTCTCATAAATGACAAAGTCATAGGAATATACAAGAAAATGATGATAACCCAATCCAAACATCCTCCCAAAAAAGAATTTATATCCCTATTACCCACCATGAATGTAACATATGAGGAAACAATGAATATCCCATAGAAATAAACTTGCATACACATCGACAAGTCCACAGTCAACCCATTAGCATCTCATCCATTGGCTAGTAATCCAATTGTCATTTTATTAGGAAGCTCAAAATGTGATTGCAAAGTATAGTGATTAGCTGGGAGAAATCCTTACGAACCAATTGGCTCAGTCCAGTAGTCTTTGTTCAAAATCATGAGTGAACTTAAGTGAAACATGCACATGTCATTCCCTAAGCCCTGTGCAGAGAGGAAAATGGATGACTATTTCCATGCTTACTTTCTATGGGTTCAATTTGATCATGTATTGTGACCTATTGTTCGTGATATTTGTACTAATTGTTGGGATTTTAGTTAAGTAATAATGACTTTTTAATGTGTGTATTTGGTAGCGATAGTTGGTGCCCACGTGCGTTGCACATGAGTCTTTTTAATCTACTAACAATGTACCACGTGTGTTGCACATAGATCATTTTGATTTATACTTAAGTTAGTGTTATCAAGTTTAAATTCAAGGTTTGAAAAAGCTTTTAGCTATAATTTTTTATCAGTCGGCTTTCTCAGTCATGCTTGAATCAATAAGGATAAGCTCCAATCAAATATATAGGGTGAACAGAGATTGGGTTTCCACAATTGAGACTTGCACCACATCAAACTAAGGATTCATTATGCTTGAAGCAAACAAATCTCCTGAGGCCTAAGCGAGAAGCAAGAGACAAAGCGAGCATCATCGAAACGAAGCGACCAATTAAAAAAAAAACAAATATTTTATATCTCAACCATCACAGATGAAAATCTAGTCATTAGTACTCAACCATCATAGATGAAATTCTAGTCATTAGTACTCAACCATCACAGATGAATCCTTTCCATAACAAATAGGAAACAACCACAAATCTTATATGTTTTTTCTACTAAATTAGTCCTTTTCGAGAGAAACAATTGAACCAAGCATAATAAAGCAGTAGAATCGGACAGGAGCAATCTAAAAACAAACACAACTGAATCAATCCGTGCAACAAGTGCATAAAACCAGTATAACAATGCAGAAAATCAGTATAACAAAGCAAAAAATCAGTCTTAGCCTAGGATCAAAATATCATGTCAAAACGTTCAAAATATTTTCGTTTCTAATGAGACCAAAGCGAATCATTAATTGAATTGAAATTCCAATACTTTGAGATATTTTAGAATGTTGAGTTTTTTTTGAGATGTTTCAATATGTTTTTACCAATGTTTTGGAATGCTTCATAATGTTTTAAGATCTTTAACTATATTTAGACCAATACTTTAAAATGTTTAGAAAATAAATCCCTAAATTTTTATCCATTTTTATTATGTTTCTGAAACGTTTCCATTTTTTAGGTGACCGAAATAAAGTGCAAAAATAATATTTTGATCCTTGGTCTCAGCATAACTACTTCACATAACATTACATCAGAAGCAGGGGGAAGGGGAGGTTCCAGCAGAACCAGAAACAGAATTAGCAGCACAGCACGAAAAAAAAACAAAAACAGAGTAGAAGAGAAGGAAGTAGAATCAGCATCACAACAACACACAAAAAAAAACAGAGTAAAAGAGAAGGAAGTAAAATCAATATCACAGCAACACTAGGAAAAAAAAACAAAAACAAAGTAGAAGCTAGAACCAAAAAATCAGAACAAGATGGGAATAATTAGAAAAGGAGGAAAAAAAGTAGAAGAGAAAAATCAGAGAACGTAGAATTAAAAAGTTCATTAAAGCGATCGCTTATTCTCTTCTCTCTCACCTTGCCTACCTTTGCTTCGACTGACATGTTCAAGGTGACATAGGATCGTCTCGCTTCTCACCTAAGCTCACTTTTCACAACACTGCCTCTTAGTTTTTACAACCACAAAAATTGTTGGTTAAAGGTTGTATAAGAACTTAAAATATAAAAATTTTATTAGAAGGCTCCTGATACCTTAATTTGTTCTATATTTTGCATTTGTTGCAACATGGGATGGGCTTATTTATTAGGACTCTATATCAAGTTTGTACAAATAGTAAAATATGTTATAATTTTGTGTACTATGTAATGGCACCATATATGGTGTTAAACTCATTGGCTTCACGTTAATCCGTGTTTAATTTTGCTATGTTGTGCATGTGTTAGACCATGGATGGTAGGGCTTCTCATGACTAGTAGAAGAAGTTTTTCCACCCTTGTTATTGTTTTTTGTTCACTTTTGGAGCAAGGCATGTTCTTGGCATTTTGCAAAAAACTCATTATCCTACTTTGATCATCAAGTACCAGAATTCGTAACATTAATTATTGCAATATTTGTCCTACATGAAATAAGATTTTACTGCAAATAAATTAAATTAAGTTCATTGTCTTCGATACAAAAGTTTTCAAGATGTCTCTGATATGCAAAAGCTGCTATGGAAAGGCAAGCTCTTTCCCACTGCTGGAAAAAAAAACCACAATTATAAATTACGCTTGTCCAGATTTTTTTTTTTTTTATGGGTGCTTATTTTACAAAAACTTTCTTTTTTGTAGAAAAAAAAAAATATGATCATGTCAAGAACATAGCAACATGGATACCGGATAATAGGGTTCTAACAAAATTACATGGCACTAATTTCGACCAGTTGGCAAAAACTTACATGTTTTGTAGACCATTATATGAGCATGTTGGAAGCCTTATGGACCGCTATGATCCCTCCACCCATTTTTTTAATTTTTCTGGCCGCAAAATTATCTCTGAGTTGAGGGATATGTTATATATTACAAGCTTGCCAATAGATGGCAAGCCAGGTGCCGTATCCTAGAAATGATTACTAGCAATATTTGAATAATGCAATCCAACTTTCTGATAAAGAAGGTGTTGTTAAAATAAGTGACATTTCTAAATATTTTTCTAATGTTCCTGAAAATATAGATGTAAACAGTCCCGAGCTTGAACCATATGGTTGAGCTTATGTTTTATATGTTTTGGGGTCAATAGTAGTCCCTAGTACTTTGTCCAATCAAGTTCTAGTTTTTTATCTCTCTCTCTCTTCAAAATTATCCAAAAGATTAAGAGTTATGCATGGGGTGCTACGATGCTTGCAAACATGTCCGTAACATTTGACAAATTCAAGGAGCAACCTCAGTCAAGTTTTTCTACCCATTCTTATTCCCTTATGGTAATCCTTTTTTTTTTTATGTACTATTTTGAAGCCTTATATTTCTTTCTAGATAAGTGCCATTTTTTTAATCATAGTGTTTTTTTAGTTCTTTGTGATGGAGCATATACCATTGTTGATTCGATCACTAGCATTTGACCTCCATCCCGAGGTCTCTATGAATTTACCAACTAGCTTTTTTTTATGGTTGGGTGGACTTTGTTGTATTGAAAAAAATCCAAAGACAACTACAACCGAAAAAAAAGTTACGTTATTTGGAAAGTTTGCATGGCTTACTGGCGGCAGATGTAAATTGGTGAAATTTTTGTCATGCTCTTGCATATTGTGTGATTGATGTTTTTGTTATTTGTGATTGATACATGCATATTTATACATTTTGTTGTAGATTATACTACAACCGTACAATAGGATTGGGGAGGACTTTCTGCCACCCCAATATTGGGGCCTACCATCACCCTGATGTTTAGTCTTCAGCAATTTGGGATTGTGGTGGTGGATGAAGAAGCATTGCGCCCCATCATCACATTCCATTTAAAGGCACGGAGCGGGCCCAAAGAGAAAGAAATGGATTGGACAAAGTTTCTTAGGGCTCCCATTTTGGAGTAGGACAGAAAGAGGCAATCTATGATCAAAGACGTCATTCATCATCAACACGCACAGCTTTCCCATATCCTTCCCTAGGATACTCCACCACTGTGACTGGCTTGCCATCTATTGGCAAGCCCGTTATATATAAAATATCCCAGAACCAACAGATAAGTCTGCGACCACAAAAATTAAAAGAATTGATGGAAAAATCATAGCAGTCCATAAGGGTTTCCAACATGCTTATATCATGGTCTACAAAACATGTAAGTTTAGTCAACTAGTCGAAACTAGTGCCATCTAGCTTTGTTAGAACACTATTATCCGGTATCCATGTTGTCATGTTCTTGACATGATCATTTTTTTTTTTTTTTTGCAAAAAAGAAAGTTTTAGCAAAATAAGCACCATAAAAAAAACGGAAAACTGAAGGAAAAAAAAAATCTAGACAAGCTTAATTTACAATTGTAGCTATTTTTTCAGCAGTGGGAGAGAGCTTGGCTTCCAATAGCAACTTTTGCAAATCAGTTCAAAGAAACAAATATTAGACAACTTGAAAACTTTTGTATCGAAGACAATGAACTTAATTTAATTTAGCTGCAATTAAATCTTATTTGATGGAGACCAAATGTTGTAGTAATTAATGCCACAAACTCTGGTACTCAATGATCACAGTAGGATAACGAATTTTTTGCAAAACGCCAAGAACATGCCTTGCTCCAAAAGTGAACAAAAAACATACAACAAGGGTAGAACAACTTTTTATACTAGTCATGAGAAGCTCTACCACTCATGGTGCAACACATGCACAACATAGCAAACTTAAACACGGATTAACATGAAGCCAATAAGTTTAACACCATATCTGGTGCCATTACATATTACACATAAATATAACATATTTTACTATTTGTACAAATTTGATACAGAGTCCTAAGAAGCCCCGCCCATGTTGCAACAGATGCAAAATATAGCAAAAATTAAGGTAACAGGAGCCTTCTAATAAAATGTTTATATTCTAAATTCACATATAGCATTTAACCTACAGATTTTTGTGGTTGTGAAACCTAAGAAACAATGTTGCGAAAAGCGAGGCGATCCTATATCGCCTTGAATATGCATGGTGTAGGCAAGGCGAGAGAAAAGCGACGAAGCCAAAAAAGAGATCGCTTTAGTGAACTTTTTAATTCTACGTCCTCTAATTCTTCTCTTCTTTTTTTTCTTCTCCTCCTTTTCTAATTCCTCCCATCTTCTTTTGATTTTTTTGTTCCAGTTTCTACTTTGTTTCTGTTTTTTTTGTGTTGCTGCTTCCTTCTATTCTACTCTATTTCTATTTTTTTTTTTTTGCCAATACTATTTCCTCCTCTTCTACTCTGTTTCTGCTTTTTTTTCTGTTGATTCTACTGTGATGCTGATTCTGTTTCTAGTTCTATTAGAACCTTCCCTTCTCTTTTTGATGTGATGTTGTGTGATACAGTTATGCTTAGACTGATTTTCTGCTTTGTTATGCTGATTTTCTGCTTTGTTATGATTCGGTTTCTACTTGGTTATGTTTTTTTCGGAAAGTTACTTGGTTATGTTGGTTTTATGCACTTGTTGCATAGAATGATTCAGCTATGTTTGTTTTTAGACTGGTCCTGTTTAATATTTGTAGCTTTGTTATTCTTAGTTCAATTGCTTCTCTCAAAAATGACTGATTTAGTAGGAAAACAAATAATTTTTGTTGTTGCGTTCCAGCATGTGCCTTAAAAATAGAACCACACTTAAACCGGTTTTACTTTTAAAAGGGCAGGTACTCTGTGCATTGTCAAATGCAATTCACAAATTTCAGATTTCAAAACTTGATAGGGTTATTCAGCAACTGCGTAGGCAAGTAAGTTCTTTCTAAGCATACCTCATACTAATAGCCTATCACTCTTCCAAAAGGAGTAAAATAAGTGGCTCTCTAACCTAAAAAACCGATTAAAGAATTTAGTGATGAAGGAAAACAACCAAAAGACCAAAACAAGAGTGCTCGTAAACAAAACATTCAATTCATAGGATGCAGCTAGAATGCTATATGTGCCAGACCAGACCAGACCATTGGGACTACATGCCACACCTTCCTCCCACTTCGTCTAGCCCAGCTCTAACTCCAGCTGCTACCAACCCCACATCAACCAATCAATACCAAGAAAAGCCAATAAAATAAGATGCCTGCATGATAATGTAACAAAAATTATTTTTATTCTCCTCCTATTTGACACGCAGCAACTATTGGAAATGAGTTCACTCTCAAATTATTGACATTGAAATGGACTCCCACTTCCATTTTTTGCTGTGGCTCATATCTCAGAATTCAAGATTAACCATATCTTACTCTTGGGGATGCACCCAAAATAGATGGCAGTACTCAAGTCCACGAAAAATAGTCCCACTGTTCCCTCTTTCCCCTAATCCATACAGTTATGATTACTAAGCATGCAACCTTCACTCAAGTACTATTTTGGCGGAGACCACACCCTACAAAGAAGGAAAGATGGGGTAATACTATAGACGTCAACAAAAAAAATTGCAACAGCCTCCTCACTACCAAGATGAAACAGAGAAAAAAAACTCATGGGCTCCAACTCCAAATATATCACTAACCTAAAAAAATTGCATTTTCAGTGCAGTGCGCTACCTAATCCCCTCTGAAAATTTCCACCATAAGAGACCTACATCTGGTGTAACGTTACAGTGGTCAAGGAAACTAATCTTTCAGGTCACATCCCACAGCAAATATCATCCTATAAAACAATCCTTAATACGAAAATAGCAAATCCATCTTGTTTAAAGAAGTTTCCTCTCTCTTTTGATACTTTTCTACAAACCCATTCCATATGAATCTCAGACCAGTTATAGCATTATTCCCCCTTATTAAATGCCATTTGTGGCTCCTGCCAATGGCGCACATCTTCAAACAAGCTACAATTACACACAATCAACCGCCATTCACTAGAGTTCTTGAATCTTCTATTTCATCTTGAAGGAAAAACAAATTAACCTGAATAGCCCGGTGCCACACATTTTCAGGTTCATATGCAGTAAAATATATAAGAATCGACCTCACTTTATTCATTTGCTTTCGTGGATATTAACAAAAGATGAAAATAAAAGACCACATAGTGAACACAACCAAAGAGATTTACTTCTTCCATCCACCTCCATGTAAATTGAATTTAAAGGAAAAAAATTCCTGCAAGATCACCTTATACAAAAAACATTACCACCTGATGTGAACCGTCCCAGTGCCAGCCTACCTACTCTTTAGTACTACTATATAACTCATGAGATTCCTTCCAATTCCATCGTTCTTTTCTTTTCTTTTTTTTTTATGCGCCAATGAACTACTCGTCCTTGCAATATTTTTATCAATAATAAAATTTTGTTGCTGACCAAAAAAGATGGAACAGAAAAACAAACAAACAAATAGTTACAAGAAAAACTGGTCAAATGCATCAACCTTGCTCTCAAAGCACCAATATCCTATTTCAGTGAGACTCCCTTGTTTATGGCCCTCCAGTTTATCTGATCTTTAATTCGTATATGTTAACTGACATTCAAGATCAACATAAAAGCATCTTTAACAGGTCCTTTATATGACAAAATCTATCAAAAGCTCAAAGCTATAGAAACAAAATCCGATTTCATCATCCGCATCCATACTCCACAATCCTTTTCCCTAATTTTTCTCTTTCCTTCCCCTGCCATTTCGCAATCAGCAATACTAATTAGAAAAGGTCACCAGATTGTAATGACCAAGAAGCTAAACATATGCCACCCACTAGTTTTACAGCGTGCATGACTCAAACTTTTGCTTCAATGGACAACTTCCTTAACTCAGAGATCATTGTGCATCAAAATGAGTAGAGCTTTATATGGGTGCAATGGACTTTCATCAATATAAGAGGTCACAATCAGCATAAAAAATAATAAACTTTAACTTTATCAAAAGAACAATGATTCTACCATAATTAGAAGAACTCAATTTCCATACCTGTGCCTTTTCAAGGCCCTCAGAGGCTTCTAGTAATAGTTTCCGGTCCACACAGACATCAGGTCCTGACTGCAAGCACTTCATGAAATGTAGCGATGCATTTTCAACTTCGCCTAGGGCAAGGTAACAACTGAAAAGATGAAGGGGAAAAAAGAGTGCAGTTATAAACTACTGTAATTCTGCAGAAGAGCAATGTTCATGGAAAAACTAATTAGTCCACCCATCAGATTAAGTTAATATAAGACTTGACTAACTAAGGAAGAAGGTTTTGTTTTTGAAAAGACGAAGTTTTTTTTTTTTTTTTTAAGCTTATCAAAGAAATAAAATTTAAACCACCCTTGTATAAGATATCCAACCAATTACAACTCAAAGAAACCACAAAACTCAAAATCCTTCACAAAACTGAAGAGGATAAAAACTCAAACAGCTTCCAATTCCGTGTATAACATTTACAGGTGGAGAGTCTCTCTCCAAACTCATATACTAGTGGAGAAACTTCATGAGCCGTTAAACAAGCAATTCGCATACATCAACATATCAAGCTTAAATCCATGATCTAAAAACCAATATTCATTTGATATCATTCAGTCAACATTGAAGTACAGACCAAAAAACAAGTTATGCATGAAAGCTCTATATATTTGAGAAAATTGTTCATACGAACTAAAAGCATAACTCAGAAATCAACATAAGTTAAAATCGTAGTTAGAAATAGCATCATAAACAAAATCTACAAATAAAGATAAACCTCTTAACAACCATGGAATTCTCAAAAAGTATAACAATTTTCGGAAAAAAATAAGGGGTTTAAGTGCAACTTCACAGGTGCAGGGGTGGATCCAGAAATATCAGGACATGGTGTTGTCTTAATTGGCTTAACAGGTTTGGCCTCTTTCCTAGATTGGCAGGGTACAATATGGATATGAGGTCAAATGTGGCTTTCGGGCCAAAGTTTAAAGAAGGTGGTTCAAATTCTTTTAGTTAATGGCTCAAGTTCTTTTAAAACAACTGGTTCAGTAAAAAATAGGGAAATCAAGTCAGATCCATAATCTTAAATCCCAACAAGTAAAAGCAAAAAAAAAAAATGTTTACTTCACATTGGTTTGCATCTTGCAAACCCCAGCTTCTATTTCAGCGGCGACAAAAAGGAGGGCAAGCGGTGGTGGCAGCAACTTGAAGACAGACATGGGGGTCTCAGACAAAGTTGCGGGAAATTGACGTTGATGGTGATGGGCAGAAAAATTGATCAAGAACAGAAAGTGATTCTGATGCAATCCTTCAGCCACGAATACCAAGGACGGCTCAAGACTATTTGAGGCCTAAAGCGGCAACTAAAAATGAGGCTTTTATTTTTAATATTAATAATTTTTTATTTAAAATATATTCTCATTTTTTTGTGAGATTAAATATACTGTTAATTTTTATGTTTATGTTTTGCTTCCATATCTTTTATATTCACAGTATCACTAATCCACCTAATCTTTATTGTGATAGTCGATCATATGAAAGATTTTATTAATTTTAATTTTGAAAAACTACTTTTAATTTTAAACAATCTTAGTCTACTAATTTTAATTTTTTAAGTTTAATAAAAAATCAAAAATATTTTGTTATATTTTCGCATAACAAATCAAAAATAATTCGTAACACAAACCAAAAAAGAAGAGGTTGTATTCAGTAGAAGTGAGTGAGACGAAGGGCATTAGTTTACTACTGGGGGGAAAGGGGGAGAAAGAGAGTGAGACGGGGAGTGAATATATGTTTGAGATTTTTTAAGTTTTATAATGTTTGAGATTTTTAAGTTTTGCGCTTTGGAGAGAGAGAGAGGTGTTTTGGTTGACCGGTTGGAATATTTTTTAGCCCTTAGCATTTGCCTTTTTTTCCAACAAATTTGTTTTGGTGTATTTTTAATATTATGGAATGGGTTCATGAGCCTACACTACTCAAATTTATTTTTGATTGTGCTTAAATTTTTGTAAGGCATTTTTTGGGGCCTAAAAAATCTTATGGCTCTAAAATTTTTTATTTGGACTGATTATCCACCTAAAAATTTTGGGGCCTAAAGTAGGCTTTGTTGGCCATGTGGTTGGGGCCGGTCCTGAGGAATGCAAGAGCTTGCCGACACCAAACACTTGGTGAATAACTTGTAGCCACAACAATAATGGCTTACCCAATGATGACAATTGACAATACAACGACGATCCCTATGCCAACAATCAGAGACTATCGCGGCAGAGATTGTGAAGTAGTGTAGTGCTGACGCCAACAACAGTATATTCCATTGAGAACGACAGTGGCATTCCACAAAGATTTCAAAGCAACCACCAATTATTCACAGCAAAGCAAATCACTTTCTTCAAGCAACTCCGACAACACAGCAAGAAGAATTGCCACCAGTGATGATGAACAGCAGCAGGGGCTATGCTTTTTGAAAAGTAAATAGGAGACAATTGGAGTAGCAGAAGAGCCGGGAAATAGCAAGAGACTACGGATCAAAGTTTGACTCTAATATCAATTGATACAAGGATGGAAGGGAAGAAAAGAAAGAAAAGATATTACCAACTACCTGCAAGGATTATGTCAAGAAGCACAAAATTCTGCATGGAGAAAGATCAAACAAAATTCATAATCTAAGGAAAATATGGGTGATTGCATCAATATTTATATGCTAAGTCTCCCACTAAACCTAATTAACCTTCCAAATAAAACTCCGTCAAAAATACTCTTCACCTAATATTTCCTAATCACATAATCCAAACTAATAATAAAAATAATCCTAATTAATACAATAATGCTAAATAAATAATTCCATCCAAATCCTCAACTAAAGCTTACCCAATTCCTTTGTGATCCCCATCACCATCACCATGGCTACAAATGCTAATCATTGGTATTTATACAAGTCCTATCATCAGATAGTGTACAACATACTGGTAAAATGGGGTGTTGCGTTCACATTATTAAAAATTTTTAGAAACCAAGAAATCTGTTGATATATTAATTTGGCATTTCATGTTTGTCAAAGCACAACAGCTAAAACAATTCGGATACCAACAAAAAGACCAGTAGAAAGATGAGGCTTACTTTGCGGCTCGAACTTGAACCCTGAGAAAGTTGGGATCTAATGCAGCAGCCCTCATACAATCCTCTAATGCTTCTCTCATTCTTCCTAGAGACATGCGTGCTGCTGCACGGTTGCTATAGCACAGCATCAAAGCCCTAAGACAGCTTCTAGATGTCTCATTTTGAGAAACACTGTTTACCCCTCGTGTGTAACAGTCCTCAGCTTTAGTTGTATCCCCCTTTGCATAGGCTTGATTTCCCCTGATAAGACTCAAAATAAACTCTATTGAGCAAAAACATTCATTATAATCTGAAACTAACATGACATAAACATATTATCAAGGCCACGTGACCAAACTGCAAACTAAATTGAAACAAGTTTTGAAACTAAATTGATACAATTTCTGAATTTTGAATGCAAGGCAAATGAATGGCAAGATGATATGAGATATAGATCCCCACCTCAGTCGCCACTTCTCACAGGCCTCTTGAGCAGCAATGCTTGCGAAAGGAGTAGAGACAGTTTCTTGCCCGACCTCTTCTTTAACAGCGTCACACTTATCCCTGTCTGTTCTTGATAAAGCTGGTGCATCACCTCTCTGACCCTGCCTAGGGGACAAAAGTGGAGAATTTCCAGGAACTGGAAAAAACTTCACAGAGGATGGTGCATAGGGAACTTTTGCATTGGGAGTAGAACTATATGAATCAAGACCAACTTTCAATCGATTTTTCTTTTTGTGCTGACGTGTTGTTGCTGAGGATTGGCCTTGAGCACAGGAAAATGCAGCAAAGGTAAAGCTAGTCCTGCCAATATCTTCAGAAATTGAGGCATGACTAAATTGCCCCCTGCCATCACTATCTTGCCTCTCGATTGTTGACCCTGAACTCACTTCAGTATCCGTTGCAGTAACAAAGGAATCAATGGTATAGTCTAATGTTTCACTGGCAGACTTAAAGCTGTCAGTCTCAGCTGCTGAAATAGACTCATCTGAAGGGGCTTCGGCGCCAGCAAATTTATCAGAAAAATGTTCAAAATCTTCTTCTTTTGCATCTGTGCATTCCACATCACTTCCTCCATTAACAGCTAAACGCTGAGTTGCAGGAACCAAAATTTCATCAACTGCATCATCTGAAACAGTTCGATGTGATGCACTTAATGTGCAGTGATCATCCAGATCGAAGGCTTCACCCAAAGTCACAGAAGTTTCTGCTAAACAATTATTATCTTCCAATGTTTCATGATATGGGGAAACATCCATGGGCGAATATGATTCAAAAGAGTCCGGATTTTCTGGTGAACTTCTTTCTTCCAGAACAAAGTCTTGTGCAAGTCTCAGTTCAACTGGCGTAGGTTTCTTCAACTTTCCTTTCTTTTTTTTCAACTTCGTATCTCTAGCTGATTCTCTTTTTGTTTCCAGTTTCCTATTTATGCCAGAAAATAAGTTTCCTTTTGGATTTGGTTTTTCGAATTCTGTGAAGGGTGTCCTGTTACTATCCCTTTTGCTAGTAAAACTAAACTCAATCTTCTTCTCGGGTCTATCCATAGATGGCACCTCGTAAACATTGCCAGCAGATTGGAAAGGAATGTCAGTAGATGAGAATGAAAAGGATGATGCCGTGGGGACATGAGCCCTGGCTGTGCAGTCATTATTTTGATGATCTATGGAAACATTAATACCACTAAAACTCTTAGCCTGTGCTCCCAACTGAAAAATAAATTCTGTTGGAACTGAATTACTTACACCCTGGAATTTTTCATTACCCAAATTTTGGGGGTGTCTCTCATTTGCACACTCTTTAGAATGCAAACCTGTATGCATTTGATTGAAGCTATCTCCAGTTTCACTTCCAATTTTCAACTTCCTTATCTCATCCGAAATCATATTTTCTGCTCTTCTGCCATCAATTTTTGTGCTAGTTCCAAAAATAAAACTGTTCTTATCGCTGGTATTTTTGTTATCCTCTTTCTTTTCACCAGCACAAGTATTCACAGAATCTTCTGCATTCAAATTTTTATACCTTTCAGGAAACCAAGCCAAAGAATCACTACTCTTACTACTGCTTCGAGAGGGATAATTGTTTACATGACCTGTGTCATGAATAACACTATCTCTGTCAACTGTTGTGCTTTGTATGTTCAATTTCTTCATCTCATTTGGCAATTCCCTTATGACCCTGCTACCAAAAGAATTACTGGCATTCTGAACACTTCCAAACCAAAAATGAGTCTTATCATTTTCACTAATATTAGACTCCACACCTTGATCATCTTGTAAACTCTCTACATTAGCAGAATTGTCAATATTCAACTTCCTCATTTCCTCTGGCAATTTAGAAGCCCCATTCCCATCAAAACCACTGTCTTTACACCCACTTTCAAATGGAAAAACACCCTTCCTATTTTCACTCATATTCATATTAAACACATTACTATCCACATTCACATTCCCTTGTTCACTTCCAATGTTCAATTTCTTCATATCATCAAGAACTTTATTCCTCACATTTCCACAAGAACTACTCACCCCAGAATTCAAATCACCTTCACCAATAGTTCTATTTTCTCCAAATGCCCCCAAATTCCCCAATCCAGAACTACCCATTTCTGAGCCCAGATTCAAATTCTCAAAACTGGATCGAAAAGGATTGGATCCCAGATCAACCCGACGGGAATCTGAGGCCGGCATCGACCTGGCATTGTGAGAACCCATTTGTTTTCTCATCTTAAAAAGTCGTGGCTTCGAAAGCCCCGAAGAAGCCGAGCCCAATGACGGCTTGCCAGACCCCAATGACGGCGCATTAAACCCAGAAAAATCATTATCCAAATTCGATGAATTCATTGTATTTAATCGATTCTTCGAAGAAAACCCAGAGGATTTGAATGAGAGAGAAGTAGAAATCTAACCGTTAGGGCTAGGGTTTTGAACCGCAGCTCTGGAGTCAAAAGGCCGGCGATAAAAGTAATCAAATGGGACGGCTTGGGATTTTTCTGGGTCTGATGAATTTCATGAATTTGATGTTGGTATAGACGAAATAGAAAACAACGAATCCAGGAAAGTGCTGGTTTTTCCGTTCTTAATTTGAAGGGGAGAGACTAGAGAGACGAATAGAGTTGTGTCGTCTCAGTTTTGATGGATCTTTTTGCACTTTTACCGTATTTACCTGATGGAGGCAAGAACAAAATAATCATTTGCATTTTGGCATGGAACTTGGTGGGTAAGGTTAAGGTACGTAGCATATCATGAAAATTTACGAAGAAAACAGTTAATAGATACCTAGTACTATGTTGGTTTGATGTCACAACACTCGTGTTAAACAGTACAGTAATCAATCTTGACTCATTCTGTTTAATTAATTATATTATGTCATATTAATTTATTTATTTTTGTGTTATATTTGTATTGATTCATATAATCCGTGAATAAAAAATTTAACGTTCAATTTTATGTTTAAAATTTTATTATCACTTAATTAAACCTATGCTCTTGTTTTTTTTTATAAACTAAAAATTAACTTAATAAATATGATAATTAAAAAAAATTGTACAAAAATTAGATCACTATTTAACAAATATAATAAAAAAATAAAAAATTTATTCTTATAATACTAACAAAAATAAATAAAATATATTGAGTATATGTATATCTGAATTAAATATCATCTCAAATTTATCAAACTTAATTTTTCATTACTCATATTCTATTATAATTATGAAAACTTTGTATATTCCTATAATTCTTTGTTTTAACTATTAAAAAAATAGTTAAAGTTCTATTTTTTTTAGAATCTTGTGATTGACATTGATTTTTTAGTGATGTTTAGGAAATTAAATTTTTTTAAATTCATTTAATTAACATTTCACTTATAATTTTTTAAATAAAATAAACATAATTATCAATATATTTCTTAATTATATTGGAACCTTACTATGATTAGGAAGTAGTTAGGTCAACTGGAATAAGATTTAATATACTACTCTATAATATATATTATCAAGTATATTAAAATTCTAAAAAAAATCAAATTTTACTTAAAAATATACTACAATATCTATTTTTACATCAAATCTTAGTACAACTTATAAAATTTATTATAACTGAAAAATTAAATTAATGTAACATAAATTGATTTTAAAAAACTATATATACTATTATTTTTTATCTTAGAAATGAAATAGTTAAATTTTTCAATAAAAAAAAGATAATACATATATATAGGCATAATATTATCTTTTCATATGAGATAAGTAATATTAGATTCATGGAGTTTTTAAAGATTTTTTTAATAATTTATTGAAAATATAATTATGCATATTTTTTAAGGGTAATATAGTTAATCAAAAAATCTTATAAAAACTGATATTTTTACATAGAGAATAGATAATTATAAGATATGTTATACATAATTTAAAGATTTAAATACATAAAGATATGATAGTAATTTAGATATTTAATTATAAAATGATAAAGTAGTCTTTGTAATCCTTTACAAAGATAAAATAGATATTCAAAAAAATTTCATCTTAAGGTACTTTTATTAGTAGTATATATATATAGATTATTTAAACGCATTAATTGTGTCAATTTTATTTTGTTCATGTTTGGCATTAACCCAAACTATTTATTATTCTTATTAACGAGTCGTGTCATATATGAGTTCATATCCATAAATAATCAATCCTAACCCGCTAATTTTGTATTAATTTTGAGTCTTATTTTCGTGTTATGTCAGAAATTATCACTCCTTACAAAATATGGGAAGTTATTTTTTATAAAGTATCTCCTATTTTTCATTAATGAGATTATAATACGAGTAAAATTTTTATATTTTATTATTTTTTAGATCAACGATTTCAAATAAATCAACACAAGATTTGTGATTCACAATAAATTTTGGTGCAATACCACTTCGGTATCGTAGTGCTCTTCTTCGAATGATTATTGATTTACTATTTAGGCTCTACACTTTAAGATAGTATTTTTCCTTGGGAAAAACATTTTTATAATCAAGAATTTATCCTTCCTATATGTTTTGGAGTCATTAATGATGGCACATTCTCCCTTGAGAAGAGTCATACATCTTTATCTTAGGGCGGAACTTCTCCTTGCGATCTCTTTGTCAAATTAAGCAACAAAATACCATTGGTAGAGTTTACCTTTGTGAGCATCAAATGGGGTTCTTATGCTTCTTGAAGGTCCTATTATCCGAGCACCTTTTAGGGTTTTTCTAGGGTTATACTTTATGACATGCACACAACCAGAGTTGAAGATGTTTACTTCCACAACAATGGGCCAACCATGTCACATTAGATTTTTCTCAAGCTCTTTGTGGTGTTGCTCTCATCTTGAGGACAAGGTTTCATTTGTCCTTTCTGCGACAAAGGAGGACAGACCTGTGTCGCGCTAGATTATTTTCCATATGCACGCAACATCACCTTTGAGATCAAGGATCCTATGGTCCATCGAAAAATATGTTATTGTCACATCATGCCATGAAGGTCGCGATGCTAAGTGTCAATAAAGAGAGATGCATTTTACCGCATTTTCTAACAAGTTCTTTCCTCCTATGGTAGGTGAAAATATAAATTTTCTTCCAGACCACTATGATTTTTTTACCTATTCTTTCTATATCATAATTTAAATAAAAGTTGAAAAATAAAAAAATAAAGGACCAAATAAAAATTACAAAAAACTATTGGCATAAATTTAAAAAAATTACATCGACTACGCCCCCTAGGCCCAACGTGAGTCCGTTTCTAGATACAATGACCTGATTACTAATGGAATTCATAGATTTTTTGGGAGTGGTAAGGGAGGAAACGAGGTTTGAAGCCGCAACCACTTATGTGCGGGACTGAGCACTTACATTTGGGTCACTCTCTAACCTCAATTTGAGTATTTTCTACCCTCAAATTTGACTATATTTTTATGTTTGCAATCTTGAGAAAGAGAGGGGGGGATTGACAAACAAGGCAGACCAAAATAATTTGAGCCCTTCAACTATAATTATAAATAAGGCCTTTATTTGTAATAATAATAATTTTTATTAAAATTTTATTCTTTTTTATTTTTATTTTTAATATTAACAATATAATTACAAATCTATAATATAAAACATGATAGCTTCAACATCTAACGGTCTCAAATCAACATTCCAAAAACATTTCATCCAACGGTCACAGATCTTCTCATCTTCCCCCAAATTTATCATTTTTCACCCATAAATATTTTCAAAATTTTGGTCAACTCATTCACTTCATCCGTCAATGGCCTCAATCACTTCTTTTTCTCGGTCACTTCACCTACCGCTTGGACATCATTTTTTTTCCCAACCCTTCTGTCAGACAAGCCTTCTTCAGAGGCCATCTCACTATCTCTCTCTCTTTCTCTGTCTCCCTTTGTTTCTTCTTACCAATAACACCACCACTACCGCCGAAAGTCAAGAACACCACCACCGCCCCAAGCCTTCTTTAGAGGTCATCTCACTCTCTCTGTCTTTATCTCTCTCCCTCAATTTCTTCTTACCACCACAGCTACCGAAGTCAACAACAACACCACCATCCTAGGTATGCCTCATCTCTCTCTCTCTCTCTCACACACACACACACATAGACACCCATCCTACCCCCCGCCTCTTCTCTGCCCTCTTCTACACACTCATCACCCACACACAAACAAACCCAGAACCATCACACACATGCCCAACCCCAACTTTGTGCCGCCATCCAAAGCCACCTGGTTTCTGAGTTTGTTTGGATTTGCTCATGGTGGTTTGATTTGGAAGTCGTCTAGAGTGAGGAACCGTTTTAGGTCCCAATCTCTCTGCTCTCCCTCCTAAGCTCTCTCTGCTCAATCGCACGCATAGAGGCTCACACACAGCCACTATCACACACACACACACACAATTGCACATAGCCCAAGCTCTCTCTTTCTAATTGTGAACGTTTCAAGTTTTTTATTAAATATTTTTTTCTCTAGTTCACAATAAATACCAGCACTAAATTTTTTCTCTGGTTATTTTACTTTGTCTATGTTATTTTACTGAATTTTATCTTGAATTTTATCTTGCATTACTCAGTCCTCAGTGCTACATTTGCAACCAAAATCAACTGTTGGAGTGTCTGCATATATCTTGCATTATTCAATCCTCGGTGCAAGGTAAGTTTATTTCTAATTTTTTGTGTATTATCAGATTACATTCAGATAATACATTTTTTGATGTGATGTGCTTTATGAATGGGCACTAATATTTTCTAATTTTTATTCAGAATTATGTGATGTGATTTTTATTCTCTACACAAACTTGCATTTTTCTAAGTTTATGAACTGTACAATTCTTTTGTATTTTTTTCCTTCTTCTTTTCAGTTTCGCACCTCCAGTGAGGTTTCTAGTGAGGCATTGGACTTGGTCCTTCAATTGGGTGGTGGTGGTGAACATTTGAGTGTATAATAAGCCTAAAATTAGAGAAACCCAGATTTTTTGAGAGAGAGAGAAAGAGAGAATTGTGTGAAAAGGGGGATCTTTGGTACATTTTGAAAATTGTGTGAAAAGGGGGAAACTCATAGATTTCATTTTGATTGTTGCTTGGGTGTTTGTATGTATTTCCTTTTTTAGATCGAAATTAATTCTTCAATCCCATATATTGCAATTGTTTGAATTGTTGTTGTGATTAGATGCTATTTGATCTAAATTTGATCCCACGTGTCATATGGTTTGTCTTTTAAAAAGATCGCTGCAATTGGTTCTTTTTTCTTTCTTTTGTTGGTTTTCTTGATTGGATACATATAAACACACCTATTTATGAGGGTTCATTGAGTCAGTGTAACTTATTTTCTTGCCA